GGAAAAGTGGCACTAATGGGGGTTACCAATGCTTTAACTGCTGTGGAGGTAGTTAGGATGACTGTTTAAGGTCTGTCTTAGTGTGGTTGAAGAGGCCAATTGATGAGGACAGCTGAGAACAGCGTCTCCTAGGGCAACTTCAGTTGTTTGGTCTAGACCTTCAGGCGAGGATCGGGGTATGTAGCTGTTCCGGGAGTAATTGTTGAATGAGGGAGATGAGGAAGATTTGATGCTAAAAGAGGGAATTCAGTGGGTAGGTTATGGTTCAGTAGAGGGTAATGTGCTGAAATGGTGTAGGGGACAAGATGGAAGGAGAGAAGGGAGGGCAGAGGAGTTTGATCTGTGATGTTTGAAAAGGAGAGAGACATGTTTTATCTGTGGGTTAGGGTTGGAAAAGGTGATGTCTTAGTTTCAGAAGATTTGTTTACAATTTATTTTTTAACTGGGAGGTTAGCTAAAAATTTTGGCTTTAGCTTCAGACTGTGTCTGGGAGAGGCCAGAGGAAAGCATATCACCCATGTAACAGTTTCTTAGTTGGCTCAAAAAACAGTATGGCTTGGTTTTGGTTTCATTTGGTTAAGTTAATATGATTTAAAAATACAGATACATATATGTATACATACACATACCTATACTTTTTAAATCATGGAAGAACAATACTTTTCAAAGTATTTTCCAATTGGAAAAGGCATCAAAGTAAAGAAATAAAAGCAAATATGAAAAGCTACTTACAATGGGCTAAGAGAACCTGCATGGGTTGGCAAGCTCTACAGAGAGAGAGAGATGGGAGCAAAAGTAAATGAAAGTTTGGCCATCTGGCCATCTCTGAGTCCGTTGGCAGAAATTGTCAAGATCTAGAAGGGCATTGAAATAAAAAGTTCCGTTTTCAGGTTATCAAGAATTGTTATCTGGTTGGTATTGTGGCAATGTTCAGTTACAATAAAAGATTAGTCCTCAGCCAAGCCCAGGTCTCAAAGATTCAAGACTCAGCCCAAGGGATTGTCTCCTGGGGTTTAGAGGGCCTAGACATTTGGTTATGCATGGTGTCCAGGCCCCTGGGCGAGGGTAGCTGAAGCCTCTGATTCTGGGAAAGGCTAAGAGATAGCCTGGGTGTTAAAGCAATCAATAGCCTAGAGGAGCCAGGTGCTTGGGTGGGCTCCTGACTCAGGCCTGCCATTTTTTTGGATAGTGGATATTTGTACAGACAGGAGTCTAGTCCAGACAGGCTTGAATCCCAAGGGAGTCCAAAATGCCTGGAAAATCCCTGGGAAGTTTTGTGGACAATTGGGTTTAGCTTTAGGAGCCTTCAGGGAAGGGGAGAGGACAATACAGAAATCAGAAGAACGAAAAGGGGAGAGATTCCTCTAGGGGAGGAGGCACCAGATAACCCCAGAAGATTGTCCCCTAGAATAGAGGCAGTAGTGGACAGGAAGAATGAGTTATAAGAGCGGACAATGGAGGGTCTGTCCCCTCAGGCCACACAGGCAGGGACGTGCCCCTAGCTGGATAAAAGTGTGTCTTAGCAATGGCCCAGACCCAGTTTGGGGTCCCTAGAGGATTCCCCCCAAATCACCACTAAGCTGTATGACCACATCACAGAACCGCATGTGGGGACCCAGTCAAACTCTGTGGCTTCATCAGCTGTGGAGCTTCTTCTCAAGCACTCCGAGCATTCAGTCAGCAGACATACACGGAACGGGAGGAGAGAACCAGGATGTTACATTACCATTTGACGTCTTGACATGCGAGTTGATAGGTTCAAGAGAGAGAGTAAGGGGCACCACACTCACCCCAAAAGAGGGCGGGAGCACAACATGCCTCAACTCCTCTTATTGGTTTCGCACACTAGATGTTAGGTCTTTGCCCTGGATGTAAGGCCAAGGACTCAAGGAAGGGACCAGAGAGAAAGAGCTCAAAGCAGCTTTATTAAGGGGGTTCCATGGCCCGATTCCTTGGTCTGGAGAGAGAGACAGACCAGGGGGAAACCATTTCTTAAGGTAGGTTGGGGCGGTTTTTATAGTAAGAGTCTTTAGGGAGGGGAGGGGCATTCCATTGTGGTTTAGCCAGGTGGGTGAGGCAATTCATTCTCATTGTTGACATGTTGGTAGATATTCTTTGAATCCTTCATTCTTCTCCTTTGACCTTGGTCTGGGCCTGACAATAATATGTTGAATCTGTTTAGAAACTAGGCTTTCTTATGATAATGAGCAACAGTGTCAGCCCAGAGACTAAGGTGTGCCTAATCTAGGCCATGGTCTTCACAGTTACTTGCTATGTATCAGAGAGCTGGACAATGACTTAGAATAATAGAGGAAGAATTGATGCCTTTGAGCTGTGATGCTGGAGAAGAGTATTGAACATATCATGGACTGCTAGGAAAACAAACAAGTTTGTTCTGGAGAAAATGAAAACAGGCTGTTCCTTGATGGCAAGGATTTTGAGGTTTTGTTTTAAATACTTTGGGCATGTTGCAAGGAGGGACCAGTCCTTGGAGAGGGACAACATGTGTGGGAGAGTGTAGGGACAGCGCAGGAGAGGAAGACCCTGGATGAGATAGACTGACTCACTGACTGGAGTAATATGGCGGTGAGTGTGTCAGAAATAATAAGATTGGCTCAGGATAGAGCAGGGTTTAGAGCTATGGTACGTAGGGTCACTATGACTGGCACATAACAACAACATGAGCGTAAGATCATTCCAAAGTAGTTTGGATCCTAAATCTTATCACTTCTGAGCTATAAAAAGAGCAGAGTAGACACATAGAAAGGAGAATAGAAGCTTCTCTAAGTAAAGGAACCAAGGAAAGCCTGGGGCTATGTGAACCTTAGATAATTGTGCTGCTGACTCAAAGACTGATTGTCTTTGCTGGTTGGAATTCACCAGTGTGGCATTACGCTGTCAGTTGTCCTGAATGAAGTGACCATGGTCACCAACCTCCACCAGTCTACCACCACCTTGTACAGTGAGAGGTGATTAAACACTGTGCTCATGTCCCGACAGTGGGCTCTTAATTTTTCATCCTGGCACCCAACTGCTCCATTCCATGCTGGGCTCCCTGACGCCGCAGAAAATCCCTTGGCTGGCGTGTGCCCAGCCTGCCTCTGGTATGTGGTGCCCACATTACGCTAAAAGACAAGTTTGTCTTTTCTGGGTCTCAGCCTCTATGTGGCTGCCATAACTAAGGGCACACAGTTTTTATTAGATGCTGTACAACATGACCCTTTGTGATCCTGTGAAAAGCAGATCTGAACCCGGCCCTATCCTGTGCCATCCTCACCATGTCTGACACGCTTCACCCATTGCTGCCATCTCTGGGTCAGCCCATCTTTGGGGGTCTTCCTCTCTTGCTGAGATGCATTCTCTCATGGTTCTGGAGGCTGCAGGTCACATGCTGAGGTGTCAGCTGGGCCGAGGTGTCAGCTGGGCCGTGCTCCTCAGGAAGGCTCTAGGAGAGCTCCCTCCTTGCCCCTTCCAGCTCCTGTTGCTTCCTGGTGAGCCTTGGTCTGTGACTTCCTCTCTCCACTCTCTGCTCCCATCTTCACATGACCGACCCACCTCTGTGTGTCTGTCTCTTCTAACAGGACCCCAGCCGTGTAAAATTAAGAAGCCCTGCTGGTACATTTGTTTCTTCACTTGCTTGTTAATCGGAAGGTTGCCAGTTCAAACCTGCTCTGTGACTGCAGGAGAATAGACTGGCAATCTGGTCCCATGATTAATGCCCAGAAAACCCCGTAGGAGTTTTCTCACACAAACAGTTCTACCCTGGATGTGGGGTTACTATGAGTCAGGGTTGACCTGATGTCACACTGTAACAGTGCCATGAAGGACTTGCCCTACTCCAGTATGAACTCATGTTACCATGATTACATCTGCAAAGGCCTTATTTCCAACAAGGCCATGCTCTGAGATTCCAGGTAGACATGACTTTGCAGATGGATGCTTTTTAACCTGTTATGGTCTCCAAAACCCCAATGAGGGAATGGCTCCGGTACCCCTCAGTTTCAAGCAGTTCCCACCTTCCTAAGTGCTGGTATTCACAGAGCATGCACTGGTCTCTTCAGAGAGGCTGCTCTGGATGGACACTGCTCTGGATGGACTCTGGATGGCTGCTGGAGAGAGGCAGTGATCCACTAGCGCAGGAGACACGAGGAGGCGAGCTCAGGCTGGGGAACTGGAGGCCTGAGGTTCCTTCTGAGGTCGTCTCAGCCCCTGACAACCAGACCAGACCTTTGTCTCTAAGGGGAGGGCACACTGTCCTCGCAATGAATGCAGGGAGGGACTGTGTGCTTCTTGTCTGGAAGGCGAGGGGCTATGTGGGATCCGAAGTCCTGACCCCCACTCTGGATAAGTGTCTCCAGAGTGCAGTGATCAAGACTTCCCACCCAGAGGTGTGTCCTGAGGTTGGGAGATGAGAACGAGGGGCGCATATGGAAAGATGAGCCCTCTCCTCCTCGTCTGCCCGATCCTTCCACCCTCCTTCCACCCACTTGGCTGCCTGGCAGGAGGCAGGAGCTTTGATGGTGAGACCAAGTGCAGGGCCCTGGAGGCAGCCTGCTGACTTGGTCACCAGCAGGACATTGGGATGGGAGCGGAAAGGATCCGGATCTCTCCTGGGTGGCTGCCTCTCCTGATGATGCCTCGGAAGCCCAGAGCAGGCCCAGCCCCCTCCCCTGCCTCTGCTGTCCCTGCACACAGCCCTGTCCTGACTCTGTCCTGAGCCTGTATGGTCCCCTGCTCCCCATGCCATGCGTCAGCACTCCCAGGTCTTTGTCCTAGCTTCCCTCTAAGGCATGTTGTTCCCAGATGTTCCTGTTGTCACACAGAGGCGGATTCAGCTCTCTGAGGTCTGCTGGCTAGTGCAGGCAAGGCAGGGCCTCGACCCTGTGACCCTGGCCGCAGCCCCTGAGGAAGCTGGGGTGAGCAGGCTACCTGACCTCAGTACCTCCGGTTACCATGGCACTCCTGTGAGTGACCGACCTGTCTCTGATCCCCTCGCAGGCATGAATGCTGCCGTCAGAGCTGTGACCCGCATGGGCATCTACGTGGGAGCCAAGGTCTTCCTCATCTGTGAGGTGAGCCCCTAACCCCCTCCCAGGTGGCTGGCAGCAGGTGGTTTTGGCAGTCTGGCCTCCAGTTGTCCTCAAGGTCCACAGCCCCCCTGGGTATGTGAGGAAAGTTAATGACTCCAGCCAAGGCCTCTGTCGCCAAAGAGAGAATTCAGGTTCAAGTTCAAAGGCTGCCTTAAGAGAAGTAGGGGAGAGGGGAAGGTTAGGAGGAGGTAGGCTGAGAGGAGAGAGAAAGGGGAGGCAAGGCAAGGGAGAGTGCTGTTGGGACGGGGTGGGGGGCAGTGAGGGGGCAGAGGAGGAGAAGAGGTGCAGAGGATGTGGCTGTGCAACCCCGAGGCTGAGGCCCAAGGCAGGGTCACCCTGAGGCTGGTTGGAAAGTGATGTGCAGGAAGGAACAGAGCTAAGCGTTAGAATATATGTGAGAAACCCCCCCATACCTGCTTCATTTCCCTGGCCACCGCCTCCCCATTTGGGTCCTCAGCCAGATGCTCTGTGCTTCTACTGAGCTGTCACTGACAGTAGGGCGCCTGGTGCCCCTGGACCGGTCCTCCCCCACCTCCCAGTGCTCTCTCTGGCACATCCCTGGTTTAGATTTAGGCTGCGCCACCAGCCTGGGCATTTCCAAACCCTCTCACCAACTGCCCAGTCCATTCTGACTCAAGGACCTTGTGTCACGAAGCACAGCGTGGGACCACTTGAGAGGGGGTTTTGGTAGTAATCTTTGCAGAAATGAATTGCCTTAGGGCAGTGGAATTCCCTGTGCTGCCTTGTGTTTTCCTGATTGTTTTTTGCATAAGATGTATCAGCCCCAGTTCTCTGTTTGCTCTCTGCTGAGCCCTGATGCTCTGCTCTTCCGGTTTCTCATGCTCAGGCTTATGTCAGTATCAAGGCCTTGGCCCTTAAGAGCTTTAAGCCTCATTGTCTCAGTGTACTGCAGGAGCCCAGTACGGCTAGCCTGAACTCTGGGAGCAGCCTGGAACTGTCCAGAGGCCCCCCGGGGGTTCTTTAGCAGCCAGGGAAGCTTTGTCTGATCTTGGCTCCTCAAGGTTGCACACGGGATTCTCCTCCATGTAGCCCTTCACTCCCTTAACTCTCAGTGTCTTTGTTAAACAGGGTGACAAGCCATTCCTCACGTGGGTGTCAGGGGACAAAAGCTAACAGAATATGAACGCACATTGTCTAGTTCCTACCACTGAGCAGGGCTCAATAAAGGGCCAGTTTTACCATTTGAGGTGACAGAGCTGTGGGCTTGTGAGATTAGAGTTCAGCACGAGGAAGGGTCTAGGGCGCTGCTGTAAGAAGTACACTGGCCTTCTCCCACCTCAGTCAGAAATGAGCATGCTGTCACTGAAGGGGTGCAGAGACTTTCTAGAAGATTCCAGGGATAGCAAAGGAGGATGTGAGACGATGTCTCTGAGACTTGTTTAGAGAGGCAGCTGGCCACTAGCCAGAGCTGCCCTGCCCTGTCCTGTAGCCAGAGCTGCCATGCCCTGCCCTGCCTCCCTGCGGTCTCCAGGGACTGCCAACCCCATGCTCAGTGGGTCAGAGGCCAGGCTGGGCATGTGCTGGGCGCTGGGCCTGGGCCTGAGTGTTTGCAGGAGTCTGCCTGTGAGTTTGTAATTGCAGCCTGTAGTTTTAGAAAACATCTGCCTTTTAATGCATGGGTGGGGCCAATGTGGGTCCTAGCAGCCTGGTCGTGGATCAGTGAGGAAAAGGCTTGGCTTGTCCTGAGTCAGAGAAGGAAGCTCTCAGTCCCACAGATCACGAGGCAACAGTCCTCCTGAGACTCCCCAAACAATTCTATTCCCCTGCAACAAAACACAGAGGGATATAGGCCCTAATAGTCCATGGAGGGCCACCCAGGCCCACTTGCAGGGGACAGGTAAAGAAAAGAAAAGGTATAGTTCCACACAGCGACATGGCTGCACCTCACACATGAGCAGAAATCAGATACGGAGAACCCAGGCTCTGTGTGTTCACCTCTGTCAAGTACTGAACAGAGAGATAAGATCTGCAGCTCAGAGCTAGGAGAACTGGTCCCTGGGGGATGGGGGAGGGACTTGGGAGACATGGCTGGACTTCTAGGAGCTGGTCCTGCTCCCACCTGGCTGTAGGTGCGTGGTGTGCTCAGCTGTGTGCTTGAGACTCATCCAGCAGGACTCCTGACCTGAGCCCTTGCCTCAGGCGGGGCCAGGCCGAATGGCTGTGTGCCAGGCCACTTTCCTGGGCAGCTTCCTGACCTCTGGCTGCCCCGGGACTCTTCACCCGGGGCCCTGGGTCAGGTGGTCAAGAGCCTCGGGTTGCTTCCTGTTGGGGTGGAGGTTTGACTGCAGTCAGCTGCATCCAGACAAAGCTTGTCTGTCTGTCCTGGGTTGTCTGCCCGTGTCACCACCCCTCTCTGGTTTCAGGGCTACGAGGGCCTCGTGGAAGGAGGTGAGAACATCAAGCAGGCCAACTGGCTGAGCGTCTCCAACATCATCCAGCTGGTGAGCCCACAGGGTGGTGGTCCTTCTGCCCTGTGTCCACCCTGGCTTGTCTCCCATACTGTGCCAGGCCATGCTGTCCACTGTCAAGGGATTGAGCAGTTATAATGGGTCCTGGGTCCGTGGCTACACACTCAGGCCATTTCCAGCTAAGGGATGGGTGTGGGGTAGGGGGATATGTGTAAATGTATGTGCCTGAGTGAGCATGTGGTGTATCTGAGTGTGAAAGAGTGTGGCAATGTGAGTGTGAATGTGTGTGTCTGCATGCCGCAAGTATGGGTGAGAGTATAACTCTGTGTGTGTGTGTGTGTTTGTGTGTGTGTGTGTGTGTGTGTGTGTGTGTGTGTGTGGCGTAGACGCCTGTCCCCTCACCTGCTCTGACTTTCACCAGCCTACCCACTCTTCCCATCTCATATTTGAGGAGAAAGGCTCGGGGATGGGGAGATGGCTCTGGACTCCCTCCTCTCAGTCCTTACTGGTCTGTCCCGTCCTCTGCTGCTCCATGTTGGGTGTGCTGAGGGGCCTCCTCACCACCTCCACCCATGCTGTGATCTGTCTCCATACAGGGGGGCACCGTCATTGGCAGTGCTCGATGCAAGGCTTTTACCACAAGGGAGGGACGCCTGGCCGCAGCCTACAACCTGGTCCAGCGCGGCATCACCAACCTGTGCGTCATTGGCGGGGATGGCAGCCTCACGGGCGCCAACATCTTCCGCAGCGAGTGGGGCAGCCTGCTGGCAGAGCTGGTGCAGGAAGGTGGGTTAGTGGCAGGGCCAGCGTGGCCATGGCCTGGTGGTGGTGATGCTGGCATGGCTGGGTGGCAGCCCTCAGCCCAGGTGACCTTGGTCCTGGTCCCTGACTGGTGGATGTATTGCTGGCCTGGGCACTGGCAGCTTCAAACCCAAATGTCCTTGGTTCTGCACCACCAGCAGGGAGGGTTTCCAGGGAGGGAGCATGGGGACAGCTCTGTGACTCCGATCTGCTGCTCTGGCCACTGGAAACATCAGGCTATTCCCTGGGTAGAAGCATCCAGGCCACTTCCTGGGTGAGCTGCAATTCTTGGTTTATGTGATTAATGGTAGAATACTTAGTTATTTATTAGAAAAGCACTTGCTAGATGATATAGTGTTTTGACAAAAGCACTTTCTTTGGTCATAAAAAAGTAGCAAAAATTTACACTTCCAAGTACGAACTTGAAAGTAAAAACAAAGAGCCCAGGAAGATGGACAGTGAGTCAGAGCATCACTATACCTCTGTTGGTGGTAAACATCAAGACAGACCTCACAAAGGGAGGTTTAGGCACACCTTTTTTGGTCCTTGAAAGCAGAAAATTGTCTATGGAATAGTAAAAAGAAGTACATACCTTTATGCATTTTCAAGGTGGATATTGTCTTCTGGTCTCGCAATGCAGTGATATGGTGTAAATCAATCCATCAGACACTCTCACTGACCACCTGACTCAGAGACTTTGAGGATCCAGGGCCCCCTGTACCAGGAAGATAATTCAAGTCCCTCTGTATGAGTCTAAGATGACTGTAACAACAAAATAATGCAAACAGATGGCTAAAAACCACAGTAACTTAACTATCTCACAGCCAAGAGGCTCTGGTTCCAAATTCAGGCTTTTGGCAGGTTCCGCCCCCCCGCGTCCCCCGCCCCCCAGGCTCCATGGCATGGAAGCACCTTCTCACAGCCACCCTTCCTCTGTAGTTTTCCTGTCTTCTCCCCGTTCTTCATAAGGACACTACTCACAGGATTAAGACCTTCCGTACTCCAGTTTGGCCTCATTTAGCTGATAACAGCTTTAGTGCCTTTATTTCCAAACAGTGACATACATAGGTATAGAGGTTAGGACCTCAGCGTATCTTTTGTGGGGAATGTTTTAAACCACAGCATCCTCTAATGGTGATTTGACAAGTTTGGTTTCTAATTGGTCCTGAGAGTCTTTCAGACTTGGTCTGAATGCATTTTGTACAAGCAGAGTGGTTAGAATGAAGTCACAAGCCAGAAAGTGACCTCTTGGGTATCCGTGGATACATTGGGGTTGTCCCGTCACAGTAATGAGTTCCATCTGCCCGTGAGGAGAAGGATGAAGAAAGTAGAGTCTAGGTCTCCTGGGCAGGTGGGCTGTAGCCGAGGATCCTTTGTTGTGCCTGGTGGGGGGGTTGGGGGGGGGTTTCTCCGACAGAAGTTGGGCAGGGTTGGACCTCAGGTGGCCTTCTGGCACATTCCTTTGCCCAGGTAAGATCTCCGAGAGCACAGCGAAGACGTACTCACACCTGAACATCGCCGGGCTGGTGGGCTCCATCGACAATGACTTCTGTGGCACAGACATGACCATCGGCACCGACTCGGCCCTGCACCGCATCATGGAGGTCATCGACGCCATCACCACCACTGCCCAGAGGTGAGCACTGCCCAGTGTGCCTGAGCGGTGGAGGGCCTGGAACTGTAGGGCCTGGTGCAGTGCTGGTGGGGTGCTGGTCATTGGGGTCTAACCACTTGTTGACCATCAGTGGGGACAGACACCTGCAGCAGACAGGAAGGGCTTGGGGTCTCTTTCCACCTTCCAGACTGATTCCTTTGAGGCCTTTGCAGTGTGTCTGGCTCTGTTACTGCCTGTCATTCCTGGTAGTGGCATGCACCTTCACGCTGCTGGCCAGGGTGACCAGAGCAGGGCTGGCAAGGGACTTTCTACCACAGGAACAGGAGCTGAGTTGGAATTGATGTAGGGCTGATTGGGGTCTGAGGTGAACCTTTAACCTAGAGACATAATCTCTGGGGCAAAGGGGACAGTTAGCTGCCCCTTGTCCCTGCCCTGGGTCTGGTATGTCATGTGGACATCCCCTGTCCCCCAGTCAGCCATGTCCAGGTGGGCAGCCGTGGCCCAGGAAGGCACTCACATCTCCATATGTTCTGTCTCAACAGCCACCAGAGGACCTTTGTGCTGGAGGTGATGGGGCGCCACTGTGGGTAAGGCCATGTTCTGTCGTGATGGGTGTGAGAGGGCATCCTGGGGTGAGGGAGGGGTGTCCTGGGGCTGGTTTCTGGGAGCAGCAGCAGGTGTGCTGTGGGTCAGCTGTCCCATCCACTGCTTTGTCCTGTACCCTCACCTCAGCACAGAGTGGACACTCACTCATATCACATGGGAGGAAGAATGAAGGACAGTGAGGTGGGAGTGAGCTTGGGGTGTGTGGAGGCCTGTCCCTAGGGCTGAGGAAGGGGAGAAGGACTGAGGACAGCCCAAGGTGCCTCCTCTTCAGGGCATGGGTACCCCAGTGACGAGGGCCTAAAGTCCTTAGTGCTGGTTCAGTCTAGAGGCGCTGCTACTGGAGGGTTCAGGGGGCAGCCTCCTGGAGGAGGCAGCTGTGCAGATGGGGTAGGGTCTTTCTGTGTGGTTGACCCCTAGGTATCTGGCCCTGGTGTCTGCGCTGGCATCAGGGGCCGACTGGCTGTTCATCCCTGAGGCACCGCCCGAGGACGGCTGGGAGAACTTCATGTGTGAGCGGCTGGGTGAGGTGAGTGCGTCTCCGAGCACCTGCAGAGCTCGGCCTGAGGCTCAGGGACTTCCTGCCATTGGTCCACTGGGCAGCGTCCTAGGAACTGTGGCCAACTTTGCTATTCATTCACTCATTTGTGGACTCAGCAAATGTGCTGACCTCTCTGCTACATGTCCTGGTGGATGAGAGGCGGAAGGCAGAGTCCCTTCCCAGGCTCAGGCCTCACCACATGGACAGGGCTGCCTCAGGTGGGGCCTGAAGCTTGGAGCACAGCCAGGCTGACTGTTTCGGGGGCTGTGACCACCAAGCCAAAATAGGAGGTGTCATTATGAAGACGGGTGACAAGGATGAGGTTGGTGGCCCCAGCAAAGCCCTGAGGTGAGCATGGACCTGAGTGCAGCAAGCAGCTTCTCCACATGGAGGGTTTGCACTTTCTCTTGAGGGCATTTGGGAGTCCTGGGACTTTCAAGCTTGTCCCATGTACTGAAAGGTGAAGGCAGGTGGCAACACGGCTGGTGCACGTGCTCTGCCCTCCAGCCCTGGCACTTTCATGGGGTAGGGGTGGGCCCTGGAGGGAGGCATGTGTTACAGGGTGTCAAAGGGCTTCTCAGGGCCCATCCACATCCCCTAGGCCTTTGTTGTTGTTATGTGCCATCGAGTCGCTTGCCACTCATAGTGACCCTATGTACAACAGCCCTAAACCCTGCTCTGTCCTGTGCCAATGGCACTGCCTCTGACACACCCATCCCAATTATCCTAGACACTGAATCAATCCACCTCATAGAGGGTCTTCCCCTCCTGCACCGTCTCTCCACCCTCCCAAGCACGATGTCCCTCTCCAAGGACCTGTCCCTCCTTACAACATGTCCAAAGTATGTCAGATGAAGCCCCAGAATCCTTGCCTCCAAGGAGCAGCCTGGTTTAACCCTCTACAGGATGAATCTGTTTGTTTTCTTAGCAGTCCATGGTACCCTCAGTACTCTTCACCAGCACCACAGCTCAAAGGCATCAATTCTCCTTCTATCCTTCCTAGTCATTGTCCAACTCTCTGATGCATAACAAGCGATTACAAAGACCATGGCCTGTATCAGATGCACCTTAGTCTCCAGAGTGACACCATTGCTCCTCAGTACTTTGGAGAGGTCTGACTTTCCCATTACGTCTTTTAATTTTCTGGCTACTGGTGCCAAGAGTGTTGACTGTGGAGCCAAGCAGACCAAAGTTGTTAACAATCTCAATCTCTTCACCATCCATCCTGATGCTGCCAATTGGTCCAGTGGTGAGAATCTTTGTCTTCTTGACATTGATCCTCAATCTATAGTGGAGGCTGCAGTCCTTGACCCTCTTCAGCAAGCGCTTCAGGTCTTCCTCAGTTTCAGCAAGCAGGGTTGTGTCATCGGCATAACGCAGATTGTTGACGATTTTCCACCAATCCTGACACCACACTTCTCCTCATAGAACCTAGCCTCCTGGATAATCTGTTCTGCATACATGTTGAAAAGATATGGAGATCGGACACATCCCAGTTATACACCCTTCCCAATTTTGAACTATGCAGTGTTTCCTTGCTCTGTTCTGACGACTGCCTCTTGGTCCAAGAATAGGTTTCACATTAGCACGATCAAGTGTTCTGGGATTCCCATTCTTCTCAGAGTCAGCCACAGTTTGTTATGACCCATACAGTCAAACGCCTTTGCATAGTCAATGAAACACAGATAGACATTCCTTTGGTATTTCCTGCTTTCAGCTAAGATCCATCTAACATTAGCTACAATATCCCTAGTGTCATGACCCCTTCTAAACCCAGCCTGGACTTCTGGCAGTTCTCTGCTGATGTGCTGTTCCAGTTGTTTTTGGATAATCTTCAGTAGAATCTTGCTTGCATGTGTAATCAATGATACTGTTCTATAGTTTCCACACTCTGTTGGGTCACCCTTCTTTGGGATGAGAACAAATATAGATCTCTTCCATTCAGTTGGCCAAGTGGTTGTTCTCTAGATTTCTTGACACAACTTGGTGAGCACATCCAGGGCAGCATCTGCTAGCTAAAATATGTCAATTGGTATACCATCTATTCTTGGGGCCTTACTTTTTGCTATTTCCTTCAAAGCAGCTTGAACTTCTTCCTTCATCACCATAGGTTCTTTCTTATATATTATTTCATTAAATTCTTCTGGTGTCTGCCAATTCCTTTTGATATACTGACTCAGTATATTTTTTCTGTCTTCTTTTAATACTTCTTGGATCATTTCATATTCTGACTAAAAGCATCCTTGATTATAGCAACTCGAGTTTTGAATTTGCTCTTCAGTTCCTTGAGCTTAAGAAATGCTGAGCGAGTTTGGCCCTTTTGATGGGGATAGGCCTTTAGTTGGGGATATGGTGGAGAGCAGGGCTGGTCAGTGGCCATCCAGGAAGGGACTGGTGGGCTACATGCTCTGAGAAGAAATAGGGCAGGTGGAAGGGACAGGTCTCAGGATGGGAGCGCTGAGGAAGATGCTGTGGCAGTCAGGGCCAGAAGGCATTGCCAGTGCAAAGGACCTGGGAGAGCAAGTGAGGGGCAGAGGGGCACTGTCATATCAGGCAGAGTCAGGAGGACAGGCTGGCTGCTGACATGATGCTGAGGGTCTTTGTGTAGAGGGAAGGGAGCTTCTTCTGTTCCCACCCCTTCCAATGCTCTGGCCCTTTGTCTCCCCCCAGTGGCTGTGGCTCTAGCTCCCTTTCTGGAATCCATCAGTCTTCTGAGTTCTTCGAGCAGTGTAGCTCCCACCCACTCTGCAGGATGACCCCTGGGCCAGTGTGCAGCCTGGAGCTGGTTCTGCACCCTCAGACTTGTTTTTGTGCCCTGGAGCTGGTGCTGGCACTGTCTCCCTGTGGCTGTTCAGCTCCACCCAGTCCAGGCCTAAGGATTATGGCCCCATTCCTGGAAGCTTCCAGCAAAGTGAAAGTGGAAGCGGGGCCAAGGTGAGGCCGCCCAGAGGTGTGGCCTGGGAGCCCTCTCTTCTGTCCTGGCTGCAGTTCTGGGTAGGCCCTGTCACCCTCGAGGCCTTGCTGCAGTGTGGTGTTCAGAGGGTCAGATGAGTTCCCGTAACCAGGCCCCAGGTGACCTGGATCTCAGCATCCTTTGGCTTTGACTTTGAACTCACCCAGTGCTAAATGTGGGGCCTTCAGGCCGGGTGTCTTCTGGGTGAGTCTGGATCTTGGCCAGCACCCCTGGTTCTGTCCCTGTGTACTGTGCCCTCTGGACTTCCCTGACCTTCACTCTTCACCTGTCAACACAAGTGTCATCCTCATCCCTCCTCTGCCTGGCTGCTGTCATGGGGTTGTAGAGTGGGTCTGCTTCTTCTCTTCCATGTGTGTACTCTGTCACTGGGCATCTGAGCCTCCTCCTGCTCCTAGCACCACCTCCTCCAGCAGGCAGCCTCCCTCCGTTCTGTGAGTGAGCGGCCTGCCCTGTTGTGGGGCTGAGTGGATCTGCAGACCTTTGCTGTTTTGTTGCATGAATATGTGAAGATAGACGGTACTTTGAAATCTTGTCATACGCTGCCAACACTGACAACACTAAGACTGGGGTAGCCTTGTACGAGGAGGGGAGTGGACTACCTATGCTCTGCCCACAGCTCTGGTGAGGGGCCAGAGAAGCCTATTTTAGGGGCCTAATGGTTCTAGGAACCACTCCTTTGTGACCAGCATCATGAGCTGGGGCTTAGGGCTCCTGCCCGTCATCTGGAGAGGCAATGGCTCCAGGTTCCAGGGCCTCTTCCTGCTGCCCCCACCTTTCCTCACTGGCATCTCCGCCCTGTACTCAGGGCTTTCCTCCAGGAGCAGCAGGGCCGGCCTGCTGTGAGCCTACTGTGCCCAATCCTAATCCTGCTGACCCATTGCCTTAGCCCCAGCCCCATGGGGGTCCTTCCCTGGGCCCCCACTCCTAAGGCTGGTGGGCCAAGAGCCGCCAGATTGTACTTATCAAACTCTTCCTCCCTTCTTTCCCCTCAGCCTCCCTTCAGAGGTTAGGCTCAGCTCCATAGAGTGATTTTGTGCTGCTTCCACACCATGTGGGTTGGGAGGACTGGTGAGCAAGTCCAGGACCTGCTGGGGGTCGGTGTGAGGACTTGGCGTGGGGACTGCTCTGGAGCAGCTGGTGGTTCTGACAGGGCCGGGTGGCTGAGCCCTGGGTTTGCCTTGATGTAGACTCGGAGCCGTGGGTCCCGGCTGAACATCATCATCATTGCCGAGGGTGCCATCGACCGCAACGGGAAGCCCATCACTTCCAGCTATGTGAAAGACGTGAGTGTGCACAGGGGCTGGGGCTCGTCACACGGTGGGGTGCAGTGCTTCTTGGTCCCTGTGTGCTCAGATCCCAAGCACAGCACACCCCAGAGACGTGCTTTGTGCTGGGTGGAATTGGGGGTCAGTCATGCTGGACGCAGAAACACTGAACGATGTCTTCTCCCAAGTGATGAGCAGAGTTGGATGGAGTCACACCATCCAGAGACTGAGGGAGCCCCAACCCTCTGGCTCCTGTCTCTCAGGGCCTGCTTCCTGCAGCCAAATTAATGGCAGCCCAGCCCCAACCCCTCTCTTTTTGGGCACCCACCCACCACGCACTGGTGTCTCTGTGCACTGTGACCCATGGCCTGGTGGAGCCTCACTCCGCATTCATGCACAGGCTGTGGGCATGAACCCCTGACAACTCCGTGGGCACCCTGGCTGACACCGTGCAGTCCTTAGTGGGCAGGGGTCCTCACCTGGTTGGAGGGCCTGGAGCCAGGCAGGAGCGGGCCAGCAAGTCCTACACTAATACCCTCTTTCTTTCTGAGCAGCTCGTGGTCCAGAGGCTGGGCTTTGACACTCGAGTGACTGTGCTGGGCCACGTACAGAGGGGAGGGACCCCGTCGGCGTTTGACCGGGTCCTGGTATGTGGGGTGTTGCTCTAGGCATGGACCAGTGTGTCTGATTTGTATGTTGTGTGGTGTGGAGTTGCAGAGGCAGCAAATCACACAAGAGGAAATTGCCTTCCCTTCCCCCCTTTATGTGACTGCGGGTGAGATGAATTCTTGGAGGCCAGTGACCCCCTACTCTCCCTGCAGAGCAGCAAGATGGGCATGGAGGCCGTGATGGCGCTGCTGGAGGCCACACCTGATACGCCCGCTTGCGTGGTCAGCCTTTCGGGGAACCATTCGGTGCGGCTGCCCCTCATGGAGTGCGTGCAGGTGGTGAGTAATGGGCTCAGGCAGGTTGGGGACAGTGTCTCCACTTTATCTTGCTGCTTGTTTAGTCCCACCCCTAACACCTGTCTGGCTCCTCCCATTAGACCACGCCCCTGCTGCTTGGCCCCGCTGGAAACTAGACCCACCCACCACTTAGCCACGCCCCTCCCAGACCACCCCCCCACACACACACACCCCGCCCTATGCCTCTGCGTCACCTTGTTTGGTTGCCTCTCATGGACATCTTCCCATGACTGGGTGACTTTTTCCTGGCTATCCCTTTCCCATGGTCCTACTGCTCATCTGTGTGTGTCAATTGAGGTGGGCCCTAGCCACTAGGTTGCATTATGGCTTTTGAGTGCTCTGTTGCTGTCCTACTGCATCATATATACCTTGGGGGTCAGGACTCAGGTACTCCCTGCTTGCATCTTGGCATCCCGAAGGAGGACCCGGGAACTCCCAGCCTGCATACTGAGTGTCTGAAGGAGGACTTGGGGATTTCTAGTCTGCATGTTGGGTGTCTGATGGAGGACTCATGCACTTTTAGTCTGCATGCTGAGTGTCTGAGGCGAGGAGGACTCAGGTATTTGCAGTCTGTGTACTGAGTGTCTGGGGGAATTGGACTCAGGCACTTGCAGCCCATGTGCTGAGTGTTCTTGGGGCTACTCTCCAGGGCTCTGTGAGTTGGTAAGGAATGAGGGAGATGTGAGCATGTCTTTAAGGTAGGACATGGGACAGGTCCCAGGAGAGATGTTGGAGCTATATAGGGAGCCGTACAGCAAAGGATAGATGTTACCAGGGAAAGTGGGGAATGAATCCAGGGTGAGCTGAGAAGTGCCAGAGGGATCCAGATAAGCTAAGCAGTGCTGAGAGTGTCTAACCGTGCTTTGGGGTGCCAGGAGTTATAGGGGAAGCCAAGAAATCTATTGGGGTGCTGCAAGGCTTCAGCGGTGCTGGGGGAGCCATAGGGAGCTGGTGGGCCTGGCTGCAGATTGTAACAGAGTGACAATGACCAGGGAAGGGTAGGCTGGTGGGCAGGAAGTGGCACTTCTCTTTGAAAAGCTTCTTCCCAAGACCTTGGTTGGGCTCTGCTTTGGGGGCAGGCTGAGGATCCAGGTATCACAGTGCTGGACTCTGGCAGAATAAGCACACTGAACCAACCCTGCCCATTGTTTCCCAGACCCTGTCTAACCCCCAGGAGCCCAAGAAGGAGGGGGGCTTGGGGTGGCTTTGTGGTAGAGTGTTCAATGGTCTCCATATCCTCCTGAGGGCTGGCCTGAGGAGTGATCATTGTCCAAAATGGGGCCAAAAGGCTTGGCACTACCCTTCCCTCTCCTGGGCCCCAGGGTGGCAGTTAGTGTATGTACCAGCCCCTGCCCCAGTGGCTTGTTTCTCTTCTCTCAGACAAAGGAGGTGCAGAAGGCCATGGATGAGAAGCGCTTTGATGAGGCCATCCAGCTCCGGGGCAGGTGAGGCTTGGGGGGATGTTTGGGAGTCCCCTTCATAGCCATGTGTGGGCTGTGAACCATACCCTTCACTGTGGAGCCGAGATGGAGCTGCAGACTTGCGTGGAGCTCTCTCCAGAGTCCTGCAATGGAGCTGGGTTTGGCAGGAGCCAAGAAGGAGTGGCTTCATGGGGGTGGAGGAGGCACTCAAGTGCTGGTGGGTGCAGAGGGGTGGGGTGGGCAGGACAGGCAGGTGGGTACAGACCAAGGGGCTGGAAAGTGCTGGCTAGAAATCACTGATGGGCCTGGGTGTGCACTTTGCCATGGTAGGTGCTTCAGTCTCGTGTTCCATGGGGACCTTACACCTTCAAGCAATGACACCTAACCAAAGGATTATAGGTTCACCCTGCTCTTTTGTGGATGAGCTGAGGGCTGCAAGCAGAGTTGACCACAGGCTGTGTGACTGGTTTGCTTGACCTCTGTAAATGCCCAGCTCCTTCGTGGCTCAGTTGTGGACCATGTGCTACATGGCCAGCTGAGTATCAGGGACATGTGCTGTGTGGCCATGTGCTGTTCATGATCGTGTGCTGTGTTGCTGCCTAATCCCCATGCGTTGGAACCTGCGCAGCAGTGAGGCCTTGAGCCTTGTGACCGTGGTGACCATGGCTTCTCCATGTGACTACTTGTTGCCATCATCTTGTGCTGAGCTTTGGCCTGTGACCTTGAGGCTGTGTGGCCATGTGTTTGTGCAGCTGTGTGCTGAGCTGAGGGCCGTGCTCCGTGTGACTGCACGACCATGTGACCGCGTGCCTGTGGAACCACACGTTGGTGTGTCTGTGTGCTGAGCTGAGGGTTGTGTTCTACATGACTGCATGGCAGTGTGCTGAGCTGCGGGCCATGTGCTGCATGACTGGCTTCCTTTTCAGGAGCTTCGAGAACAACTGGAACATTTATAAGCTCCTTGCACACCAGAAGATCTCCAAAGAGAAGGTAAGGTGTATGCATGGCAGTCCTGTGGCCCCCTTCTCTGCACACCCTCCCTGCTGGCCCTGCTGTGGCCCTGGCCCACCCAGGAGCCCACAGAGAGCTGGTGCGGGCCCCTCTGAGTGGGAGCCCCTCCTGCTATGGGCTTAGCTGTGCACCCAGCTCAGCCTGCCTGTCCTCAGGTCCCTGTGGCCCATATCCAGCATGGAAGGGAGCACCAACTGCTCTGTTTCCTGGCTGCTTTGAAAAGAGCCAGGATGATCTTGGTGATGAGGGATCTGCTTATGAAATTTGCTGTAATTGCTAAAATCTTCCAGAAATGAGTTCTTTTCAATTAAGGGTGATCAAAGACTTATTTTTTAGTTACTACGGGACAAAGACAGGGTGCGGTCAAAGGCTGAGGGTCAGGGATGGGAGGGCAGCTGAGACCCCAGCTCATGAGCTCCCCGGGAAAGTGCCTCCTCTCTTGGTTGGGCTGAGCGCTCTGCCTCGCGTACCCAGATGCTGTCCTGTAGCCCTGCCGTCATCTGCTGGGACTGGGGCAGCCAGAAAGTCCCCCTGCCACAGTCTGCTCTGCCTGTACACACTCACTGCCCCCTGGTTGTCCAGACCTTCCACAGCCCCTGCACAGGCGGCTCTAGGCACTCCAGGACCATGGTTGGGGGAGGGGGTTTACAGTGCTTAATCTTTAGGTCTTCAGTCTCTTTACCTGCAAAGTAGGGAGGAGGCCAGTTCTCCACAGAGGCAGTGCGGGCTAGGGTGCTTGGCATGACGCCGGGCACAAAGCAGCCAGCCATTCCAGAGAGGACTGACTGGTATTTCTGACTTGCACCTGGTGGTTTTGCCAAGTGGCCACTTGTCACCGTGTGAGAGCTCGTCTGAGTACCCATTTATCCAACCTCCAAATGCTGTCAACACCAGACTTTGGGGAGACATCTCACCAGACTCAGACTCACTCCCAGGATGTGTTCTAGGACAGGATTGCCTCTGGAAGCACAGAGATGGCTGGTTACCAGGTACTTGATACCCTTGGAGCCAACTGCCCACCCAACACAGAGAAACAGTGCATCTCAGTGAGATGAGCTACCAACATCCCCCCAATCCGCTCCCCCACCCAACACAGAGAGATTGATTTTAAAGTCTTCGTGTGAAGAGAGGATACTTTACTGTACTGATTCCAGGTCAGAGAGAGATTATATTTTGAATGTATTGGGTTAAATTCACACTCACCTGCTAACTGAAAAGCTTGCAGTTTAAGTCCACCCAGAGGTGCCTCAGAAGAAAGGCCTGGTGATCTGTGTCTGGAATATCAGCTATTGGGTGCTGTGTGGAGCTCTGCTCTGACATGCTCAGGACTGCTAGAAGTCCAAGCTCACTTGACAGCAGCTGGGTTTTTGTTTTTTGGTGTTTTGGGTTTTTTTTACTTCTTTACCAAGGACAGATTACCTAATAAGCATGGTAAATGTGGATTTACTTGTGCTTACTTCATCTTACTTGGATCCACAATTAACACCATTGGTACCAGGGTACCAGCAGTCAGGAAATAAGGAGACACATCACACTGGGAAAAATCTGCAGGTTTGGACCTTTTCCAAATTATTGAGTAGCAGTAACGTCAGTTTGAGAACTAAGGTGTGTCTGATTCAGACCACAGTCTTTCTGATTACTTGCTATACATCTGAGAGCTGGACAATGAACAAGGATGACAGAAGAAGAACGGAGGCCTTTGAGCTGTGGCATTGGAGAAGAGCACTGAACATTCATTCCATTAACGGCCGAGAAAATTAGTTGTTGTTGTTGTTGTTATGTGCCGTCGAGTCGTTTGCGACTCAGATATGTCTTTTAGAGGGTGCAGCAGGAGTCCTCTTCGGAGGCAAGAATGATGACGCTTCGCCTCACATACTTTGGCCATGTTGCCAGGAGGAGCAATTCCTTGGAGAGGGACATTATGGTAGGAAGAGTGAAGGGTTGACGAAGGAGAGGAAGACCCTCAACCAGGTGGACTGACATGGTGACTGCTGCCATGGGGTAGGACAGAGCAGGGTTCAGATCTTTCGTTCATAGAGTCACCATGAGTCATGCTCGACTCCTAACAACAGCTTACTCATTTGTGGTGAACTTAGTCCCTCTATGGGACTACACATTTGAAAAGAGACTTGGATGCTGCAGAAAGGTGCTGTGGAGTTGGAAGAGAGCCAGCTGGCAGCCATACCTGGAAGCAGAATCTTTGATGTGTTAAAATAAAAAAATCAAATTGGTAACCATAATTAGTGAGTAAGCACTAATAAGTCCGTGCTTACCTCGTTGTGGCCAGCAGCCCCGTTAGCAGTCCAGCTCTGCTGACCTTCTCCCTGTGTGGAGGGGACAGTGGGAGCGAGGCTGCTGGTGAAGGCTGCGGGCTTGCTGTTAATTACAGTGGAGTTATGGCCACTGCGCTGCTGACGCCTTGGCTGTTAGGAATGGTATACCTGTAAGGGCTGGGCTGCCAATGGTAAGGGCAGATGTGGTGAATGTTCCTCAAGAGGGCTGTCAGTCAGGTTTGCTGAAGTTAGGAGGACAGGTGTGTCTGTTCCAGGGGCTGCCTGCTGACAATATTTGGCTGCTTGAGTACTTGGGTCCCTTTTTGTGGACTTCCAGGTGCCTTCCCAGCCTTACCGTGGCTCATGCTTTTGTCTCCTTCCACTTCTCTCCAAAGACCAACTTCTCCCTGGCCATCCTGAACGTGGGTGCCCCGGCGGCGGGCATGAACGCGGCCGTGCGCTCGGCGGTCCGCTCTGGCATCTGCCAGGGCCACACAGTCTACGTCGTGCATGATGGCTTCGAGGGCCTGGCCAAGGGACAGGTAGGTGGTGGCAAGGGCCTGAAGGCCAGGGCTGCTTCTCAGGAGGGCTTGGGGCTGGTGTGTTTGGCTTGTTAATGACTTGCCCCAGCTTGCTGAAGATGTGAAGCTGCGTGCAATGCCTCACCATAGGTGAATGAAGGCAAGTGAGACTTTTTGGAGGGGCTGGCAGACCAGGTGGTGGAGGTGAAGGTACTGGTGGCTTTGCTACCTATGTGCCTCCACTCCAAACACTCAGGGCCTTGAGACCATGTCCACAGCTCCAGTGGAAGGACCTCCCCTAGCTGAAGAGGGGACAGCTGGTGCAAACTGGCCCACTGACCCTCCTGAAGCTGAGTCTCCCCTTACAGGTGCAGGAAGTGGGCTGGCACGATGTGGCCGGCTGGCTGGGACGTGGCGGCTCAATGCTGGGGACCAAGAGGTGAGCTGTTGCCAGGTCCAGGTTCTATGGCATGCATGCTGGGAGATCTCCAGGCCTGCGATTGGGGGAGCTGCAAGAAGCAGACAGGCTTTGGGAAGGGGACCCCTTTGAGCAGGTGTCCTGCCCATGCCCTCATGTAGGACCTCACTTGACAAGGTCACCTGTGTGTGGGAAGGCAGCTCAGGTGGCCTAAGCCTGCAGGGGCACTCAGCTGGCTCCCCTGAGGTCAGGAGGTGGGAGGAGAGGTGGCCATGGGTCTGCCATCTGTGGCCGTGCCATCTAATGGGCTGGTGGTCTCTGTCTGCACCTGCTCAGGGATGGTGGGGTGGGGAGAGCCACATGGGTGGGTTCAGGAATCTCCTTGGAATGGGCCTCGCCCAGTGCAGCATTGGGAGGTGGCCACCCCTCTTAATTCTGGTTGGAGGGGCTCTAGGAAGTATCCCACCAGCCTGTGTGCCCATGTGGAAGCCACATCTCGGGAGTGGGGTCTCTGGGCCAGGCCTGCTGGAGGCCTGTGGCTGGCCCCGGTCCCTAGGGCCTGGAGGAGTGGATCAGGGCTGGGTGTCAAAGACAGACCAGCACTGCTGTGGGGAAGAGGTTTGGAGCTTGGGTTGGAGGGAGGTCCCAGTAGCCTTTCCGACCTGGAGGGAGTCAGTGGCATTATGTCCCTCCCCCAGCGGAACCTGTCCTCTCTAGAGCGGGCTCCTGCCACCTCCTGGGGCTCATGAACTCGCTGGTGTTGGGGATGGCCCTGTAAGGTCTATTTTGCATCCTTCTTGCCTGGTGTCCTATGTTGGAGTGACAGGTGTGACCCATATTCACGTGTGCTACAAGTGTTCACATTGATTGTGTCTGATTGTGCAGGACCCTTCCCAAGAGCTACATTGAGAAGATTGTAGAGAATATCCGTTCCTACAACATCCACGCCCTGTTGGTCATCGGCGGGTTCGAGGTGAGTGGAACTGTCCTTGTGACAGAGCGGGGGGTGACGAGAGTCCAGGAGCAGCTCCCCATTGCCTGGGCCCCCCGAGGTGGCTTCAGTTAAGAGTGAGGAGTGTTTTCAGAGCCCGCTGAGTGGGGCACTCTTGAGAAAAATGTTTGTAAGTGAGGACAGGTTGAAGGCTTTCTACCTTTCCTGAAGGTGAAATCCAAATTAATTCTGGCAGTTGGTGGAGGCGAGTGGGGGGGGGGGGTAGGACAGAAAGGAGGGAGAGGAGGGAGGAGTGGGAAATAGATGGGAAGAGGAGGCCCAGGCTGAGGAACGGTGAAGAAGAGGGCATACAGTAGGGAGGAGGGGGCCAGGGCCAGGAGGCGATACTGAGGTAGACGTGTAGATGGGCACTTCTGCCGGGCCCAGTCCAGTCCGGACCCCTGGAAAGGAAGACCCCTGAGACCACGTGAGCCCATAGGAGCCCACTGCGCTCCGGAGTGTGTCTCCTGTCACCTGGCCCCGTCCCAGGAGAGGCGACGGTGGGGTCCTGCAGCAGGGCCTGTCTGACCTTGTCCCTGGCCGTGCAGGCCTATGAGGGTGTGCTGCAGCTGGTTGAGGCGCGCGGGCGCTACGAGGAACTGTGCATCGTCATGTGTGTCATCCCGGCCACCATCAGCAACAACGTGCCCGGCACTGACTTCAGCCTGGGCTCCGACACCGCTGTCAACGCCGCCATGGAGGTGTGGCTCGGGGCACCCATCCCCTGCTTGGGGTACCTTCCAGACCTCTCAGCCTGGGTGCTGGGGTGGGGGTACCTTCCTGATGAGGGCATCCTCACATGATCTGCCTGGGGACTTTTGAAGCCAAGTCTCCTGGGCAGAGCCCCCCTGTGCCCTTCCACATGGCTGGCTCCACGCTAATCCTCAGGCTCCCATGGTGATCTGTTAGTTTTCCTGAGCTGGGCCAGGTTATCCCCATGCCAGAACCCATTCAGCTTGCTAGGCCGGGTGCACATCTGAATGGTGCTGCTGTAGACTTGCAGGAGGGATAGGGGCTGGGATTGGGAGGGCTGCATGAGGAAGGACTAGCTCTAGGTCAGGAGGATGGAGAGACCTGGGGTTGGGGAAGGGAGACAGAAAAGACTGAGGTGCACGGACCTGGCCTGGACTTGGAGGTACGTCCCCGTTGAGCTGTTAGTAGGTCTAAGCCTCAGAACTTCCCTTTGAAGGGGTTTTGCATCCCCAGTTTTCCTTCTTGGTGCTTCCCAAGATGGAGCTCCCCTTTGGCTAACACAAGGCATCAATGGCAAAGTGTCCCCCAGCCCGAAGTGAGCACGGGTCAGCTCGGACCCATGGCAGGGATGTGCTTTCACTTGCTTTCCAATGCCTCTCCTCCTGCCATTGGTCCTTGACTTCTCCCAAGTCCACACGGGGACATTTTATGCACATCTCACATGTGTCCCACACATGGGGATAGGGAGACTGGGGGGGTCCCCTGCCTGTCCAAGAGAGGGGTGTGGAGGCCCTGACAATCCTGTGGCCCTATAGAGCTGTGATCGCATCAAGCAATCAGCTTCGGGGACCAAGCGCCGTGTGTTCATTGTGGAGACCATGGGAGGCTACTGTGGCTACCTGGCCACCGTGACCGGCATCGCCGTGGGTGCTGACGCCGCGTATGTCTTCGAGGACCCATTCAACATTCATGACCTCAAGGTGTGCCCAGCCCACTCCATCCCCCACCCACTGCAGATCCACCTACTGCCTGCCCCATGGGGCTGGATCTGGCCTGTTCCTGAGGCATGAAACAGGGAGGGACTAGTGCAGTGGCTGGACCTCAGCCCTCTGGACACACTGTGAAGGAGGCATGGTGTCTTCAGAGATCCCAGCCCACAACTCCCAGGGCAGGCCTTCTAGCCCGTATGCCTCTCAGCTGGCCTTATCCACCCTGTCTGGCCTCAGTTCCAGCAACCAATCTTTGCCTATCAGACTCTTCCTGTAGTGCTCAGGGGTTCCCCAGCCTCAGGCCCTGCACATGATCCCCCTACCCCGCATCCCTACGTGCTTTCTATCCCCCAAGTAACCCTCTCTGAGATGATTCTGGACCATTTTGTTGTCCGGCCCTTCATTTGTATGAAATTCCTCCTCAGAGAGTGCCTCTGTCCCATCTGACTTGCATTCCATCTGGCCCTCCCCTTCCCTGTAGGCAAACGTGGAGCACATGACAGAGAAGATGAAAACGGAGATCCAGAGGGGCCTGGTGCTCCGGTGCGGCTGCTGGGGGCCTGGGTCCAGGGAGCCTGGGAGGGTGGGGTGGGCTGAGTCACCATAGAGGCTTCCAGACCAGAGGGGCTGGAGGAGGGGCAGGTCAGTGAGTAGCTGGCCACGGGGCCTTTGGGGGTTAGGGGAGGAACTGGCTTTCCCCAAAGCAGACCGCATCCTCTCTCCCAAACTCTAGCCTGTCATCAGATCCAGCAGCGCTTTAAGATTAGACTGAGCTAGATCCCACTTAACCCAGCTCCCCTGTGCTTCCTGCCTCCAGAAATGAGAAGTGCCATGACCACTACACCACGGACTTTCTGTATAACCTGTACTCGTCAGAAGGGAAGGGCGTTTTTGACTGCAGAACCAACGTCCTGGGCCATCTGCAGCAGGTAGGGCAGGAAGCAGGAGAAGCCGTGGCCTCTGGGCCAATCTCTTTGGCCCCCTGCCTCTTTTCTGTGCCTGAGGCCCTGGAGTCCCAGCAGGATATCCATTATACAGATGAGGAGACTGAGGTCTAGAGAGGCTTGTCTCTTGCTGAGCTCTCATGGCTAGGAAGTGGCAGGACATTGAAACCCTGAGCCATGCTCCTGGTCCTTTGCTACACTGCCAGTAATGTCTGTATCCTCCTGTCACCACCTTCACCCTCCACTCACCAAGTCACCTGAGCACTGAGACCCAGAGATCCCACCCACTGCAGACTGCAGGATCCCAGCCTTGCCTGATGAGGCCCAAGGTCATCTCTCTGGCTTCACTCCCATGGGAGTTGTGACTTACTGATAGTCACTGGGGTAGCCCCTGCATGACAACTCCACTGTCCATTGCTGGCCTCAACAAGGAGTAGGAGAAAAGGAGAGCGGGGACAGCACTGGCCAAAGCAGAGGTTCCAAGGGGTGGGGCATCCAGAAGCTGTGGGAGTTTTCGCATGAGGTCATGATATGACCACATTGTGGGGCTCATGTGCAGCTCCCCTTCCCTGCCCAGGCCGTGATGGCTGGGCCAGCCCTGGGAGTGTGGCCTCACCCCTCTGTTTGCAGGGTGGCGCTCCAACCCCCTTTGACCGGAACTATGGCACCAAGCTGGGGGTGAAGGCCATGCTGTGGATGTCGGAGAAGCTGCGGAGTGTCTACCGGAAGGGTATGTGCAGGGTATGGGGGCGGCAGCCATGATCCCCACCTGACCTGTGCAGGGTTTGGCTGCCAACAGCTGTCTGTCCACAGGACGCGTGTTCGCCAATGCCCCTGAAACTGCCTGTGTGATTGGCCTGAAGAAGAAGGCTGTCGCCTTCAGCCCTGTCACTGAGCTCAAGAAAGACACTGACTTTGAGTAAGTCCCTCCCAGGCTCTTCCCCAACCCTTGGGCATTGCCCGGAAACCCCAAGCACAACACACACCCAGGACTCTCAAGGCCTGCTCTGTCCCACAGTCTCCCAAGTGCTGAGGGGTGAACAAGAGGGGGAGTCTGGGGACTGGCCAGCCCTGGGTGTTCCTCCTGGTGCCAGACCTTGGAGAGCTGAGGACATTCAGACATGTCCCCAGACACCTTCACTTCACATCTGAGAAGTAGGGTTATAAGGCAGCTTGTGGTGTTCAGGGGGAGGAGCTTGGTATGCGGGGAGTACAGTACAGCATCAACAGGTGTAGGGTGCATGTAGGACAGGTAGGGAATGGGGACGGTGGACTGGTGGGGGCCATGGAGACTGGGCATCAGGAACATGGGGACGGGACACAACGAAGGCAGCACCATTCTGAGCCGCCATCTCCCCGCAGGCACCGCATGCCGAAGGAGCAGTGGTGGCTGAACCTGCGGCTCATGCTGAAAATGCTGGCGCACTACCGCATCAGCATGGCTGACTATGTGTCTGGGGAGCTGGAGCACGTCACCCGGAGCACTCTGAGCATTGAGAAGGGCTTCTGAGGCACGCCCACCCCACCCAGGCCAGCACTGCTCCGGATGTCCACGCAGAGGGGCCTGGAGCCTTCGGGAAGGCGAGTGAGTGGCGGCAGGTGTCCGACACTGTCCCTGCTGCACCTGGGCCTCCTGGGCAGGTCAGCGTGATCCAGCCCAAGGGCCCCCACCTAGCCACGCTTCCTGCCACGGACAGAGCACTCAGGGTGCCCACCCACCATCCTGGGGGTGCTGCTTCTTAGGGACCTCACTGTGACCCTGCACTGTCCAAGCCAGCCACTGGCAACAGCCCCTTACCATTTTTTCTATAAATAAAATCAACCTGACTGTGGCATGCCGTCCTTAGAGCTTTCTAGAGCAGGTAGGTAGAAATGCATGATGGGGGGCAGTAGTCCTTTTGGTAGTCTGGGGTCTCTTGAAGGACTTGCACTGCTCATTTGGAACCTAGGGCCCTCCTTTGACCCAGGATGGACAGCCCTTCCTGAACCCTATGGGGTGACCTCAAGCCCTTCTTGGGCCTGCCCTGGCTATGTCCTCTCATGCAGAGGGGCTACAGCCTCCATGTCTTCACAGCACAGCCCTGGTCTCAGGAGTTTCTAAGCTTGGTCCCAGCCCCCTGAATGCTCCCCCGGACTCCGTGTGGGCTGGGGTGTCAGAAGCATACTAGAGGCAGGACTCCTTGTGCAGCTGGCTAATTTAAGCAGCACCCCATGACTCACTGGTGGGAGTGGGCAGGCAGGAAAGGGACAGACAGCTGAAACAGGTGTGTTCCCACGGTGGGTCATGAGCCCAGTCTCTGGGGAGTCCTGGGACAGTGTTAGCCCATGTCCTTACTGCAGTTGATGGTCAGCAGCAGTGTCCAGCATGTGTAGACACAGAACCCCTAGAATAGAACCCCTATTTATGTGCATTTTGAAGGTCCAGAAGCCGCATCTTTTGTAGAATTCAGGTCCCAGTGTTCTGATCGTGGATCTGGGGCACTTGACAAAGTTTCTGGCTCAGTGAAAACAGGGCTTGCAGACATGAGGAATGGGTGAATTCCCTCTAAGAAGCAGGAGCTGCCGACCCTGTGTTATGACCATAAGGCTGGGAGGTGTGGTAAACACCTGTCCTAGAGAGAAGTGATCCCACCTTCCTCATGTTACAGCCCTAGCTCCTAACCCCTTCTGCCCCCAGTCAGCAGCACAGGAGTTTTATACTCTCTGCCCTGTGGCCATAGGACCAGCGTGGGAGCAGTGCAGTTCTACACAGGATGAACAGTGGCACCCACAGAGGGGCTGCTCCCCTGTCCCACCCATCTGCTAAGTGTTAGGGAGTTCTGGCGTATGACCAGTCCAACATCCAGGGCCAGCCGTTCCTGAAGCAGGGATCCTAGTGGCCCTGTGATTGGGACCCAGTGACAGTGGTGTGCATGGTAGTCTGAGGTCTCTTGGAGTGCTTCTTTCAAATCTTTGTCTAGAGGAGTGCAAGAGATGCCATGTGGACAGTTTGTAAGAACAGAGGGGTGCAAAACCCTGGGGTCTGGGTTAGCTGGCTCATTCCAAAGGTGGGAGGTGGTGTGTCACACAGGCCAGGCATCTGCAAGAGTTGGGGTAACAATGACGGAGTGGTGCATTAGAGCCTAGGACACATGTGGGATCTATATATCAGACTCCACATCCTCATCTGAATGTCATAATCTTACTGAACAGCTGGGAACTGGGAGTGAAGGTTGACCAGACTTAGCCAAGGTCACTGGCTGGGAAGGCCTAGCTTCACCCTGGACTACAGGAGGAAGTGGAAGTATAGGTTTCACTAAGGCCCGAGTGGACCCTAAGTCCCACATGGCATGGAGGGGAGACAGAGGCTCAGCAGGGGTGCTGTCAGGCTCCAAGGAAGGCAGGTTGGGCTGAAATGGGAAGGGGTGAACATGCAGACTGGAGGTGTGTCAGCCCAACCCTTCCTGGGTGGACTGAAGATGACTTCTGGAGAAAGACGGTTTCCTCCATCAGCTCAAAGTGTCTACAGGCATTCCTGCGCACTTGACCTCTGGTGACCTGGTGTGAATGCCCAGCATCCACTCGTTTAAAGGTTCCTCTCTGAAGAGAGGATATGAGGTGAGCTTGCTATAGTTAATCTTCAAACCTGGTATGAAGGTATTTAATGACTTGGGGAGAAGGTGAAGTAAGAGGACAGTGGTGGAGGTCAAAGTCAGACTAATTCACACAGTATGCAGTCCCCAAGAATGTGTGTCAGAACAGGGTTCAGTGCCCACTGGGTAGCCATGTGGGGCTCCCTTCAGGGCATCTCCAGCATGCAGGTGGGGAGGCGAGGAGAACATTGCTAATTTAATGCCACTCCACAGACTGGTTCTGACAGTGTTTTATTGAGAGCATCTGGTGCCCACCAATTACAAGAGAAGGCACAGACTTTGGGCCTTGTGGCAGCCCTGCCTTGATGTCCATATGCAGCCCCTTGCTTCTTACAACTCCGAGACCAAGCTCAACATCCAGAGAATGTCTTCAACCCCGCAAAGCACCCCATCTTAAGTTTGTGTCTTCCACAAGTAAAGTGTTATGATGGCTTCTGACAATTTTAGACATGGCTTTAAAATGGTTTAGTGTAGGCCTTCCAGTTATGGCACCACCATCTCTGCTGACCTGCACACATCATTGGTTTCCTGCATCCCTTCCACATTCTGCATCCCTCTGACGTGCTAACTTGTCAGAATAACGGAATGTACTCTCAGTTCATAAGGGTTTGAGAGTTTACAGAGATCTGGAATAGTAAAGGGCAGAGGGAATGTGAGCACTTCTCCAGCCAGACGAGTCACACACACCAGCACGAGCTGCTGCTCTCGTGGCCTGGACCGGCTCACAGCCTCACTTCTTAGGTGGATGTGCCTTTGGCTTTGGGAGCCCCCAGACCCCCCTAGACTGTGAGTTTACTTACTGCCTAGATGCTGGACAGCATGACAAGACCCGCCAACTTTTCAGAGGGGGAAGGTATTTTAGATGCAGCTTCCAGAAGGGTCTCCTCTCTCCCCTGGTATCCCCTGTGGCTGCACCTGAGCCCTCAAATGGAAGTGATAAAGCCTGGCTAAGTTAGTAAGCTCAGAACACTCTGCTCTGAAGCAGGACTATTAGCGAGGGAAGAGAAATGATCCTCTCCCCTCCCTGCAATTAAAATGATGCAGCCTTTAACCTAGGAGCTGCAGCTGGGGCCTCTGAGAGCCCAAGGCCAGCATTCTAGGAAACTCCCCTGGCTGCAAAGGGTGCACTGAACAACTGAGTCAGAAGACTGAAAATGGGCAGAACAACTGTGAGTATCTTCCCATTTTGCTGAGAGAACAATCTTCTAAAAATTTCCCAGGCAGTGTCTGTATTTGGACAGGTCTATTTTAGTTTCTTAGGGAAATCACCTTCAAAACCTGTTTTAAGAAGCACTCTGTGCATCCAAGACTCCCACAGCCAAAGGTGGCAGGCTTCAGCAGAGGGTGGCTCTGGGGCTGCCAGCCTGGGCCCACCCAGTGTCTCTGTGGCCGTGCACTTCTGCCTGGGCTTTCTGTCCAAGGCCTTGTCGGAAATCAATAGTCTGTGGTGGAGCTTCCTACAGACAGTTCTGGTGTCGGCTCCCAGCCAAAGGCCACCTCCTGACCAATGACCCAGGCAGAGGCTGCAGGTAATAGCAGTGTTGCAGCATCCTTCTCCTGAATGCTTGGGGAGGATGTGGGGAGACACACTGGGACTTACAGCAGGCAGAGATACTCTTGGAGCCTGGTGACTGATGCCCCATGGAGTCACTCCGTGTCCTCTTGCAACTCCCGCCTGTGTAGGGCCTGCAGCTGGCTGCTCACAGTCTGATGGATGACCTCCAGCCCCTCGGCATCCAGCTCTCTCAGCAGCAGGAGGATGGCAGTCAGCACATTGTTCTGGAGACAAAGGAGTCATGGAATGACAGCCACCAGCCCAGTAATGGCTGTTCCAACACCACGGATGGATGTAGGCCTGCACGTGCCATGACAGCAGGGTGTTTGGGAGGGGCCTGAGCATTGAAATACCAGTAATATGACATGCAGGCGGGTAATACTAATCAGAATACACTCAAACCATGCCACAAACACATCCATGGTGCAAATACACCTGCCAGGGAGATTTCACCTGCTGCTACTTGCTAACGTACTGCCCCTCACACACTGGGCACAGGGAGTCAGCGGAGGTTACAGTGGGGCCAGGTGGTCACATGGTGGCTGTATGTGTGGTACATGAGTTCTGTACATCATGTGTATGGGTGTGCTCCTACACATATTGTTGGCACAAGGAATTCTGGTGGCTAGTGGTAAGAAGCTGAGCTGCAATCCCAGAGGGATGTGGTTAGAATACACTAGCTGCTCTGAAGAAGGATGGGCAATCTCTTCGTATGCGATTAAGTGGCTATGAAAACCTGCTGGAGGGTCAACTATTGGTTGGCTCCAATTCAATGGCACACAACAACCGACACACTTGGCATGGACACACATACTTCGTATGTTTCTGCTGGGAAGACATGATAAGGGTTTTTACGCAAAGAACCACTTGAGCCGATTCTTGCTGCCTGCCTGCATTCTGGGTTCTGACACCTGAAATCTCAGCCTTTTCCCTAGTCCCTCGGTCTCAATGGCCACTGAGCTTCCTGGTGACCTAGCAGGCTAGGCCCCACACCCAGATGGGAGCAGTGGCAGCCCGCCTCTCCTCTGGATGTCCGCATCTGCAGAGTAGCAGAGCCCTGCTGGATACCATATATATATTGGGGGTTCCTCCTGGAGTTAGTTAGGAAAGTGCTCAGTGGCTAAAAGCACACTGCATATTGCTGAGGGGCTTGTCTTGGTCACCCACAGGGGAGGGAGAGAAAGCCCTGAAGGACTGTGACCAACTGGGGACACACTATGGGCAGGGGAGAGTGCAGGGACCCTGACACCTGGTGGATCCTCCTACCCCCCCCCCCCTTTTCTCTTTCCCTGTAATGAAAGTTCTGCAGCCTCCATGGGCCTCTGGTCTGGTCTATGCCCTGGTGGGTGGAGCACTTCGAGTCTAGGCTCAAGGGGCTCCCTGGACCAGCTTCCCATTCATGGCTTGGCTTTGCCTCCCCCACCAGATCTCCACCTTCAGAGTGCAGGGGCTTGGGGCTGCCTGGGCACACTCACCCTGCTCCTGAGGCTGCTGGGAGCCTCTCGGGGGAAGGAGGGCTGGTCTCGGGAAGGAAGCCTCATGCCCAGTGGTTCCTGGATGCTGCTGGTGAGGAAGGACAAGCCTTAGGGCACTGGGAAGAGAGGGAGGGGAGGCCAGGTTCCTGCACCCAGGAGCACAATGCAGAAAGACAACTGCATCAGGAAAACAGACCTTCCCACTCCAGTAAAAACAGGAAGATGGGACAAAGGCCAGTGAGATCAAGAAGGGACCTCGGATCAACTTTGTCTCACTGGCACTGGGCTCTAAAGGTGAGGCAGGGACTGGAGCTGGCCTGACTTCTTGATCTCATTCAGGAGAGGTCTCCCTGCACCCAGACCGCCCAGCTGAAACACCTCTTGTGAAGTTCACAGAATGTTGGGTCCTTCCAATCCGGTATCTGTGATCCTGAAAAACCTCCTCACAATGTACTATGGGAAAGGGCTAGATCTTACTGTCCATGCTGCTGACCCCTTTCCCTGTCTCAGTGTCCTTGGAAATGCAGTGGCTTCCAGAATCTTCCTTTCCTTCTTGTACCTCTTGCTGTCTGATAAACATGGTTTCTTAGAGTGGCTTTTTAAAATAGTTCAAAGTACATACACGCAGTCTGAAGTGCGAGTAATACAAGAACGTATACAAGAACGTATTTAGCAAAATGGAGAAAGACCCACTGACTCCATATGAGAGGATCTGAGCAGGATCCCCTACTGTCCTCATCCCCCAAGAGCCCCACCTCGTTTCAGCACTGAAGCCCAGCGAGTCCCGCTCTGTCTCGGCTGAAGGATCCACAGAGCTTAGGGTGAAGGGCACCCCCGGCTGCCTGCTCTCTGTGTCTTCTCTGGCTGGGGCAGTGGTGATCTCGTCCCCCTCTACCAGTGCTCGGGATAGCTCCTCCTCGGTCACAGCTTTGGGGTGAAGGACAGAGAGGGGTCAGAACACCAGGGTGGACTCCCCAGCATACCATGGCTCTGGTCACCCAGTGGCATTCAATGCAGCCTGTGTTTAAAAGTGGTTTGCAAGCACATGCATTTGTCTTCTCTGCTTTGAGAGCTGGCACCCTGGGGGTTAGGTGGTGGTGGTGGGGGGACTGCTTGTGAACTTGGATTTCAGCATTTGCTAGTATTAAATGCTCAAAACCACTTCCAATTAAAGGAAAGCTTAAGATAAGGCCACAGATACTATACTTACTCAATTATCACCCAGTTCTCTGCTAATTATTTACATTCAATATGCCTACCTGGAAGCAAATCTGCCACACATATGACTGATCAGGAATAGTGACTGGCCTCCAGACAGGGCCTAAGGTATGGTCTGAGGAGCCGGCTAGGTCTTCCTGAGGAGATGAGGCCCCGAGGTGAGGTGAGGTAAGGTGCTGGCCTCAGGATGAGCAAGAAGATACAAATGGAAACTCCAGGAAGTAGCCACCTCCCTGCACCCCCCACAGGAACAGTGCACACTGCACACTATGTGTGTGCTGGCATGTGGGGAGCAGCAGGCGTACCCCTCATGGCTGGGGGGGGCACAGCTGACCAAGTTGAGTCGGGGCTGCTGGGCACACAAAGTCCCCATGACCCTGCATGCCCAGACATCTGTGGCATGGTTCTTAACAGGATGAAAACAAAACAAGGAATCCAAGATGCTAATAAGAGAAAATACGTGCAGGGGGAAGTGGACATGTGAGGACTCTGATTTGAACACAATTTTCTCTAAATCTAAAACTGCTCTAACAAAGTCTATTAAATGAAAAAGAAACAGCTCCAGTGCCCACTGACAGGGTGGTTGAGCAGGTTGTATTGCGTTCACATAAGGGGCACAGGCCTGGGCAGAGGGAGGACCAGGGACCAGCGTGGGCCACAGTCCTGAGGGTCAACAGTGGAATTTAGACCAAACCAACCAACACTATTAGAAACGGGAAACTCTGATAAGTCCCCCTTGGAAGGCTTTATGGAGAAGGAGACCGGGATTGTCTTAAAAGATGAGGGGGGACAAAAGATGAGAGGGAGACAAGGAAAAGCGGGAAGGCCAGTACCCTAGCTCGGGTCCATGCTGGCAGTGCTGTGGGCTTCAGGGGTTTGTTCTGGATATGATGCTGCATCCTGGACCTCCAAGGTCTCTAAGCTAACCTGCGATAGCCCCGTGGCCTCCCACCCAGGCCAACCCCATCACGCCACCAAGGCACCCACCCTGGTTGTCCAGCTTCTGCAGGCCGGGCAGGTTTCGCAGGACGGTCATGCGGTAGAGGTGGGGGTCGGGGCCGCAGCAGGGGTTCTCGGCCAGCCACAGCACCCGCAGGCGAGGCAGGTCCTTCAGGTAGAAGAGCTCGGCCAGGCTGGGGATGCAGTTCTTTCTCAGGTAGAGCTCACTCAGCTGCTGACACTGACGCATGGGCTCCAGGGTTGAGACGCCATTGACACTGTGCAAACATCATGGTTAGCAAAGGACACAATGCCCAGGGCCACTCAGCACCACTAGTATTAACTACAGATACCAGGCAGTGGCCCTGGGAAGGTGTGTGACTATCTGCCCTCTCAGAAGCAGGACAGAAGCAGGCTGTGTGAGTTATGGTCACAGAGGCCCTAAGCTGAGAGGCCTGAGGAAATGTGAAGGTCACTAAAACTGAAGGTGTGGACAGGGGAGACAGGTCAGAGACCAGATCCTCTGTCTTTGAGTACTGTACTTTCACATGTAGGGTATAGGGACCTCTCAAAAGGCCTACGGAGCAAGAAAGGATGTCAGTATAAAGACTAAAGCATGCCTGATTCAGACTATGATCTTTTCAACCACTTGCTACACTTCTGAGAGCTAGACAATGAATAAGGACAGAAGAATCATCAATGACTTTAAGCTGTGGTGTTGGAGAAGAGTACTGAATATCCCATAGACAGCTAAAAGAATAAACACATGTACTGGAAAAAGTACAGCCAGAGTCGTCCTTAGAGGCAGATGGCGAAGCTTCATCTCACATACTTTGGGCATGTTACTAGGAGAGACAATTCTTTGGAAAGGGACATCATGATTGGAAAGGTGGAGGGTCAGCAAAAGAGAGGAAGGTCCTCAACAAAATAGACTGACTGTGACTGCAGCAATGAGCTCAAGTATGTGAAAGATGAGAAGGATGGTGTGAGATAAGACAGGGTTCAGATCTGTTGTTCATAGGGTTGCACTTAGTGGCAACAACAAGAGGGTTTTAAACCAGGAGGTAGGATGCTGCACCCTCTTGACAGGTTGATGAAGAAGCAGACAAATCACACTTTGTTTCAAAGAGACCAGAAAAATGTACCGCAAACAACATACGGAAGCCCTGTGTTAAACAGACACTAAACACTGAACTTTAGAAATCCCTCCCTTAAAATACACAAAGATTATGGTTTCAATTTGGTTCCAAAGAAATTGTGAACAAATCAAAGGAGCAGAAACAAAAAAAGGCATCCAGGCCTAGATGCTAAGGCCTGTGTGGGCACAAGAGTAGTGCAGGCTCATGTCCATGGCCATGATGCTGATGTGATGTGCAGGTGCCAACCCCCAGGCAGCAAGCATCCTCAACTGACAGGGCTGGGCGGCCCTACCCTAGGAGTACTGTCCAAAAGCCTCACCTGCTGGACCCAGAGAGAGTATGCCAAGACTAGGATGCACTTCCTTCCCAGTGTGGGGGATGTTGCTGTCCCATGTAGAGCTAGAAGGTAGGAATCTGGGGACTGTATTGACCTAGGCTGTCTAACGAGAATATTCTTCCCAGAGAATGAAGGATGCCACCACCAGAATCAACATTCACCTAATGATGCAGTTACTGGGGGCAGGTGATGTGCTTGCCAGCCTTGCTGGGTTAGTCTTCCAAGTCATTTCAGTCAGCAGCAGGTGTGAGTCTGAAGCACTTTACCAGAGCAGCCCAGTCTCCCGATTTAGGAATCCACCTGCAGGCACTGGTGGGCAACAACCAGAGGATTCCGGCTATAGTATAACCTGGAACCGTCTTCTAGGACCTGTGCTGAGGGCATCCACAACCACAGGAAAGCAGGCATCAAATGAAATTTCATCCCACTGCTTGGTGGTCACTCAAACATCAGGGCAGCCTGTCCTACCTGGGCTGAATTAAAGCCACTGCCCCAGAGGGTATGGACAATAGCCCTCTGCAGCCTTACTCTGTGCCATAAAGGTGACAAGGGCCTTGCCTGATCACACAGGTGTGCACAGCAGGGACAGGGTACACACTTACACCCTAACTCTACACTGCATACTCTTCTGGCACAACTAAAAGCTATACACTGTATGAGGCAGGATTTTTGTTGTCTTGCCAGGTGAAATTCTAGCTTTGTGGACAATCACAGCTCAAAGAATTAGTTAAAAATCCAACAGCTTACGTGTGCATGCATGCCATTCACCAGGGCAGCTGTTTCTGAGGATCTCTATGGGCCAGGCACGTGGCAGAAGAGAAAATGCCAGCACAGAGAGGTCTCCAGCCTTGCTCACAGTTAGGCAGTCAATGCAGGGAGGACTGGGGCGAGTCTGGCCTGAGCATACGTGTTTGCTTATTCAGTGAGAATGTGCAAATGTGCTGACTGAGCAGCACAGGGCCAGAACTGGGGATGCTGGTCATCCTGAGTGGTCATCGTGCAACAGATATGAATTTGAATGCTGCAAGCCCAGATACGGAATAAGTCAACACAAACATGTCCATCACCCCTGATTATAGAAGGAACCGTGGAGGTGGAGCAGAAGACCCTAAGAGGCAGATATGGAATCAGGAAGTCAGGGCTAGGGTACTGGGGAGGCTCAGAGGGTAGACTGTCACCATCAAGAGGGCTTCATCCACCAGTTAAGGGCTGGGAATGCCTCCAGGAGAGCAAGAGTGCTAGTCAAACTGCAGGGGCCTATGGGTCCTCGGGCATGCCCCCTTTCTACCAGACCCTGATCTCCCAGATTTCCAACTGATGTTTCTTGGTGGCATAGCCCATAGGAAGCTGCACAGCTAACCCAGAGGCGTTGCTTCTCTGGTGGTTTAAATCCATCAGGGACTCTGACAGAGAGAGTTGGGCAATCACTTCCTGTGATTTATAGTCTCTGAAAACCCCCTGGAGGGTCAGCTCCTGTGGGAATGAGAGTTTCTGTTTTCAAACCACATTCTTAAGACAGATATTTAGTACCTCAGGGTGATCACTTCCAGGCTGGGCATCTCTCGGCATATGGAGATCTGAAAACGAAAGGAAAGTTGGTGTTTGACCAATGTTGCTCAATCTACATTACGATAGCATTTCTCTACAAGAGCTTCCCTTTATCAGTACTTCCCTATATCAGAGAGAAGCTGGAATAGTGGCCCACTCAAACTTCAGAGACCTATGGGCCCACAGGCACTTGCTGCACAGTAAATGGGTCTCAGCATGAGGGTTCCACAAACTGAACAACAATCAGACATTTCCACAAACTGAACAACAATCATGTGCTCCCTCTTGTTGATGTTGTGTACCCTCAAGTTGGAACCAACTCATAGTTGACCCACCAGTGGGTTTTCAGAGGTAGTTTAATGAACCGGAAGTAGATGGCCCCACTTTCTCCAGTGGAGCAGCTGGTGGATTTAAACTGTGATGTCTTTGAAATGACAGCACAGCTCCTTACCAAGAGGCCTCCAGGGCTCCCTCTATACCCAGGTAAACACATTCACAGAATCTTTCTTATCACTGCCTGAGGCATGCAGCAGGATGGAGATCCTTCTTGGCAAAAGAACAGAACCTAAAAGAGGGCAAGCTTGGTACTGGCTCTCAGAACATGTTAGAAATATGAATTCATCAGATATGGCAGTGTCCATTCTCTAAACATTTGAATCGGTCACATGTCAGGCATGGTATCCAGTGCTGCCCGAGATCTCCAACCAACATGAGCTCACTGCATAGTAAAAGTATTTCATGTGTATAGATGTGTCTTCTAAATGGTAGTATTTTTGTCTGTTTACTGCTAAATAAGAAGTATTTCAGCCTCAGTAGAAAGCTCAACACACTTTTCTGGACCAGCTCAGGGGCCCAACTGCCTTGCAATTTTGTTTTCATATTACAAAGCAAAGGCAGAGAAATAAGTGTGACACTTCCCTTTCATTCTATAATAGAGTTAAGAAAAGAGAAAGAGGAGGAAGTGCATTCATAGACATGCAGGAGCTCAGGCCTACATAGGTGGAGAAAGTGCGTGGCCAGCCCTTCTTGCTATAAGCTGGGGTTGAGGGTAAGTGAAGCTAGGTGTAGCTGAAGAGTTGAAGTGAGGGTCTGAGAAACCTCAGAACTTGTAAAAAAATTCAACGGACTGCAATTCATGTTCATAAAACAAACGTTCCTCCAACTTAGCATGTTAGAAAAAGGCCAGCCCTGGAATCTGTGCTCCTCCTCTGTGCACATACAGTGAGGGACACAGACTATGTCATTTTTCCATGAATGTTTAAAGGACTGAAACTCAAGGGATCACAGTACAGGGTAGGTTTCTTGAATTATAAAATTGCTCAGTAAACAAAGCTCCAGATTCAGAGCTGTGGGCAATGGGTGCAATTAGTCTTGAGGACAAGACATTTAAGATTAGTGTTTTTTTCTGAAGAAAAGTAGCATAATACTTACATCTGTGAGGCGGCTACCCCTGAGGAAAGAAAAGAAAGATATACTTAAATTTTACTGAACAAAAACAAAAACAAAAAAATTCCCCAAAATGTATGGTAAATGCTCATAAACTTTAAGAGTTTATGATTTTTATGATGCAGTGAGACTTTCTTTACAAAGAAAGCAAGACTTTGTAAAGAAAGTCACTATGTGTTGCTTTGTGTCAACCTGCAAGCCAATTATTGATTAATGTGGACTTTACAAAGTTTGAGATTATGTGCCCATACTTTTTGCATTTCAGGAACTGTTCCTGACAATGAAATCTAAAATGCTAGAGCACACTTTATATTCCATTGTTTCATGTCCAGTTAACATAATACATACATATATAGAAAATATATATATATGTGTGTACACACACATGCACACACACCCCTTTAAAAAAAACCTGTGGTTTTACTTTTCTTTTTCATTATTTTAGAGTCATATCTTTTTTCCTTCTCGTATTTTTCTTAGTTTGCATACATTCATAACATTGTGTCTCATTTTGCTTCATATAGTCTGTGTTTTATATAATCATCCATATACAATGTATTTTATACATTGTATTTTATATAATTAATTACTATTCATCTATGCCATTACCCAATATTTTCAGGTCCCTACTGGTTCTTACCTATTCCTTCAATCCCACTAACCTCTGCTATCCTAGAAAACCCTTTTCCCACCCCTTCTTCCTTTTTCCTTGTAACCATTTATAAACATCTTGCTCAAGTAGTCTATTTTTACAATGGCCTTATACAGTATTTATCCTTATGAGACTGAGAAAGTTCACTCAGCATGATGCTCTCTAAACTCCCCTATGTTATATTTTATGAAATTGTTGTTCCTTAGAACTGCATAATATTCTATTGTGTGAATGTACCACAATTTCTAACATGTTTTTTTTTAAGGCCAAGTTATAATAAAGTTCATCAACCATGTTTCCTCCACCCTACCCTCTAACCCTTTCAAATCTTACACAACAAGATACTTGCAATTTTTTTCTTTTGGTATAGAAGGAAAGGGAAGAGAAACATATTTACTGAGACCTGACTTTCATTGAATTCACTGGAGGTCTTAATTTATTCTTCTAATTTTCCCTGCTTTTGTCAAAGATCTCTTGAAAGTGCTAAAGAGCAAGTGTGTCAGTTTAAAGACTAAGGAGTTCTTGGTCCAAGTTATATTTTAAATATTAAATTAAATATTTTAATACTAAATATTAATTTAAATATTTTAATTCAGAAGAATTTTTGTGGTAGATGAAGAGTATTGAATATTTCAAGGATTGCTAAAAGAGCCAACAAGTCTGAGCTGGAGGAAGTGAAACAAGGGTGTCCCTTAAGGGCAAGAATGGTGAAACTTCGTCTCATATATCTTGAGCAACTTGTTGTCAAGAGGGGCCAGTTCATGGGGAAAAAAGACATGATTCTGGTACAGAGTCAAAGAAAGTGAAGAAGACCACCACAAAAAGATAAACAATTCAATTGAAAAATGGGCACAGGATCTGAAGAGACACTTCACCAAAGAAGACATTCAGATGGCCAACAAACACATGAAGAAATGTTCAAAATCCCTAGCTCTAAGAGAGATGCAAATCAAAACAACTATGAGATATCATCTTACCCCAGTCAGAATAGCAAAATTTAACAGAGCAGCAAGCAACAAATGCTGGCAAGGTTGTAGAGAAACTGGAACCCTTATTCACTGTTGGTGGGAGTGTAAAATGGTGCAACCACTATGGAAAGCTGTATGGTGCTTTCTCAAAAAGTTGCAAATAGAGATACCATTTGACCCAGCAGTTCCACTCCTGGGAATATACCCCAAAGAGACCATAACCGACATCTAAGCAGATATATGCACACCCATGTTTATTGCAGCTTTATTCACAATAGCAAGGAGTTGGAAACAACCTAAGTACCCATCAACAAATGAATGGATAGAGAAGCTGTGGTATATTCATACAATGGAATACTATGCTGCATTGAAAAACAAGGAACTCATGCAATATTATTCAAAATGGATGACCCTGGAGGACATTATGCTTAGTGAAGTATCTCAGTGACAAAAGGACAAATACTGCATGGTGCCACTGTTGTAAAACAGGACTGACATCTGGGTTGGGGGGAGACTGAGAAAGATGGGATAAATAATGTATACTGCATTGAAACAGATGAGGGAGAAAGCCGCTTAAAAGGTATATATGATTAGGTATTACTGTCATGACAGGCGTCCAGAATGAAGGCTGTATAGTGGAGTGGACCTGGGGGGAGAGATTGTAGAATAATGAAAGAATTTTTCTTTTACTTTTCAAAGAGAAGAGTGAATTTGGGAGGTGGGGAGGGAAGGGGTCACAGCCAACTGGATGGTACTACACAGTAACAATAACCTCAACAATACTGTGAAGCAAATGTTAGCATTCTTTTTAATAAATGTTAAAGTCTGACTGTAAGGAAGAGCTTAAATATAATGTAACATGTTTAAGACAATGAAACTAATCAGTAGTGGAATTCAGATTTGTGACCAAATTTGTCTCATACTAAAGGTTTGTTCTTTGTCTTTTACTGTTTAGGCCCAGTTTCGGTGAGGTGACTCTGAGCAGGACCGCCCTAAGGCTGTAATTGTATGGAAGATGGATTCAAATCACTTTTCATAGTAGTCTAACACTTCAACACTGTGAAAGCAGGACTCCTTCCCTTAACATGACTCAGGAATTTTTATGCTTTGGGGCAAAATAATGGAGGATAGGGAGACAAATGCTTAGAAAGCAGAGTTTTATTTCGAATGGTTTCTGCCGGTGAAGGGACTTGGTGCCAGGAAGTATAAGATAAAGGGGTAGGTTAGATAGTCTTCCTAACCCCCTTTCTTGTATTTTCAGGGTTTGACTTTGCTGCTCTTGTCAAGGTTTGATTTATTGTTTGAAGTCAGCCTTTCCAGTGAGTTTTCAGAGGCTGTAAATCACACAGGGGATTGTCCATCTTTTTATCTAGGAGGAGCTAGCTGGTGGATTCAAACCATCAGCCTCTGATTTGGCATTGCAACTCCTAACCCACTAGGTCACCAGAGATCCCCTACATTTGTGCATGCTTAGTTCAGAAGATAAAACTAAAGTGCTTTGTGCAACAATGAATATTTTTTAAGAAAAGTGAACTGTGGAAGGGGGAAAGGAGAGAGATGGGTAAAATGTGCAACATAATGAATGAAAATATAAATTTCCCGTAAACTTTTGTTAAAATAAAAAAATTATAAACAAAAAAAACCTCCCTAAAACAACTACAGTGCTCGAGTAGTGAAAAGGGTCCTTCTCCTATTAGCCAAAAGGCTGGCTGTTCAAGTCCACCCAGAAATATGTTCAGGAAGAGGTCTGGCAATCTGCTCCCAAAAGGGCTGCAATAAGCTCAAAGGCAACAAACAGCAGGCCTGACTGTTCAAATAACTGACAAAGTTAACCACAAATAATTTCCTGGCCGATTTTCCATAAAATCTGATCCATCTGATACCTAGAGGTACTGAAGAACAGTATCAATAAACAGTATCAGTTGATTTACTTTGGAGGACAGAGAAGATTTAACACAGTGGCCCACAGGGCAGATGGCTGACCTCCCTGACTGACAAAGGAATCTTTCTAAAAGGCCAAATTCAAAGGCTCAACATGTGACTTATCAAACAAGTCTTAGAAAGCCTGAAATAGGATTACTGTTTCTCCCTGCCCTGAGAATGGAAGGTAAATTTGACTAAATAGTCTTTCCAAAATAAAGAAATGCATCACTGAAAACAAATGACAGAAGGAAAGTTCTGGCAAGATATGCCAGGGTAGAGAGAAATTTTAACCGACACACTGGAGCTCAGACACCTGTTGGCTGAAGTCAGCTAGAGGAAAGGATCACTCCCCACCCAAGCAGGCTGTCTAGCTCTCAGGGCTCCAGTGACCACCAGTTGCTGATCTTTCAAACCTCAGCCTCAAGCTACTTTCTCTGAGAAGTGCTTCTGATACTCCCACGCTCCAGGTAGCCCTGGCTCCTCCCTCCAGTGGCTGTTCTGACACGCTGGTGGTACCTGTACTGCCTTCCCGTCACTTCCCAGAACAGCACAGCTTCTAGGGCCAGATCCCATCCATATACACAACGACATGCACGCTTCCTGCTGGCAGGTGCAGGGAGTCAGCTCTGACTCAGGTATAAGAGAACTAAGAGCTGCCTGTCCATGCTTACTGCAGCCTTAGTTTCTGAGAGCCAGTTCAATGCCCCTGGAAAGGTGGTAATCAGCTATTTTACTAAAACGCGAGCCTCCAATGACTGTTGGCAATTTCATGTATCACGCTTATTCAGAGGGCCTGCACTAAAGGTATTTAAGAGCCAGGCTACTTGGCTATAAGGAAAGGGAGCATGTCTGGGTCCCAAACCCTCAGGAGGTCGTCAACGTCCTGGAAGGCCCTAGTCCGCAGCCACCTGGCCTTCAGGCAGCACCTCGGGCAGCCCGGCCAGACGCGATTCGCTAGGATCCCCTAGCACCCTGGCGGAGATGCCGGAAGACCGCAGGGGCCTCACCAGCAGTTAAGCTTCCGCACACTGTCCAGCTCCGAGGCTTTGGCCCGGGACAGCACCATCTTCCGAGTTAGCTTCATGGCGGCGGCATCCGCCGGGCCCTGAGAGGGAACAGACCGGTTCGACTCTTGTGAAGCGCCACTGGTTCCGGGTCCGCGCCGCGTCTCCAGGGGCGGGTCGTGTTGTCAGGGGGCGGGGCGCCGCTGAAGCGCAGGGCGCCTGAGGCTTCCGCCGAACGCGCCTGGCCACGCCCCTGCCCTTCCCCGCCCTGCCCTGTCTTTGGTCATGCGCATGCGCAGAGGATCGTTTCTGCGTGCTAGGTCGGAAATGTGATGGTTTTACGGGTTTTGTGACGATAGACTCTGCTGCTCTAGCTTTTTCTTGTTAGGGTTTTTTCTTTTTTCTGTTTGTTTATTTTTTGTTTGGGGTTTTAAAAAATTTTATTATTTTGTTTGCGTGTACCTTCAAATCAGATCTGACTGGTACAGGAGGAGGTCCCTCCTCCAGCAGAGCATCTGGTGGATTTGAACCGCATACCTCTGGAATTGCAGTGCAGCAGCTTCTTGCCACTAGATCACCAGAGCTCCCTCTAGCTGCTTGTTGTTATGTTGTGGAATTGATTTTTATTTAGAATAACCTCATGGCAAGGACATGTTGCAAGGAGGGACAGGTCCTTGGAGAGGGACATCATGCTTGGGAGGGTGGAGGGACAGCACAGAAGGGGAAGGCCCCCCTATGAGGTGGATTGATTCAGTGACTGGGGTAATCAGGATGGGAATGTCAGAGACAGTGCGACTGGCACAGGACAGAGCAGAGTTTAGGGCTGTTGTACATAGGGTCGCTATGAGTCGCAAGCGACTCTAGGGCACATAACAACAACATGCACAACAGAAGGAAATGCTGCTGAGTCCTGCGGCTCCCACAAAATATTTGTTATGTTTGAACCCAATATTGGAACCACTTGTGAACCTCCCTCATTGAGAGTCTTTTTTTTGCACCTAACTTTCTACTTGATCAAAGGAGCGCTCTGAGTGTAGTGTATTTTGTTCGCTTTGAGCTGCTATCCTTAAAGTCAGTGGTTCCAATCCACCAGAGGCTTCGCTGTGGCCTCCTCCCTTAAAGGTTCAACTCCAACTAACTGTTGTGGAGTCAGTTAATTTTATAAAACACGATGAATGAGAATGCTTTTATGAAATACAATGTATACGAATTTTGTAGGCAAATCAATACAAAAGAATTTTTTTTTAAAAAAACAACAAAACAAACCTCAGTAAGAGAGTCTCCATTGCATTTCCAAGACTGTATGTAAATCAGAGGAAACTACTTGTGTTTGTCCCAGGGAGCCACTGGTAGATTAAAAAAATGCCAGAGTCCTGCGATGTTTGTATTAGTAGCAGTTCTCTAAGGATTATGCCACCAGAATTCTCCTTTCCTTAAAGAGTTTTGTTGTGTATCATAGAGACAGAACTGACCCATAGCTGATCTTCCAGCAGGTTTTCAGAGGCAGTAAAGTCCATGGGAGATTTTCCATGTTCCTCACTCAGTGCAGTTCGTAAATACCTTTGCGTCAGCAGCATAATTCCTTACCACTAAGCCACCCAGAGCTTTACCCGCTCTGTAAAAATTACAGTGTAGGAACTAGCTGACTTGGAATCCACTGAAAGCAGTGGGCTATTTCTATTTTACTAAAGCGAGTTCTGGTGGGTTCTAATCCACCAGCCACTCCTGGGAGAAGGATGGGCAATCTCTGCCCGTTTTGCTGCCTTGTAAAACCTGTTGAGGGGAACTCTGGTAGCCTAGCGGCAAGAAGCTGTGCTGCAATCCTGAAGGCATGAGGTTCAAATCCACCAGATGCTCTGCTGGAGAAGGTGGGGCAATCTCCTCCTGTACCAGTTGCATCTACAGTGCACAACAAAAAACCAAACCAAACCTGTTGGAAGGCCAGGTATGAATTATTTCAAACCCTACTATGCATAACAGCAAACATGATGATGTCTTTCTTAAGGGACTGACAGACAGGTCCTTCCTGATAACATGACCAAAGCATATGACAGTATTGCCAGGGAGACACTGCTTTTCAAAGGGGCAGAAACTTTATCCCATTAGCAAAAATGACGAAGTGGGAGACTAGAATTTTTTCCACACAAGTGGAATATTTATTAAAAGACAAAATAAAAGTTTTACAAATGGAAACATGGTGTGGCAGGAAAAACAACCCACACCACAACTTCGAGAGCAGAAAAAAAATGCAGTTACAAGGAGATAATAGGTGGGCAGGGGTTTCATGTTTATTCATAAAGAGAGGTGGGGAATTCCAAGAAATGGGTTGCATAGATAGAGTTATGATCATTAAATGTGTAGGCATCTGGTCCCTCAAAATGGAATCTGCTGCAGAGACCTCTGGGTTAAGAGACAGCACTTATTAGGGAATGTTGCTCTTGGGCTACAGCACTGTCCTTTGGTTTGAATCTTTCTCTCAATTGTTAGATGCTGTTGAATCAACTAGGACTCATAATGCTCCTATAAACAATGGATCTGAACCTTGTCCTATTCTGAGCCATCCTTATCACCTCTGATATGTTTGAGTCCAATATGATAGTTACTATGTCAATGCTTCTCATTGAGGGTCTTTTTCTCTCTTGCCAACCTTCTACCTTTTAAGCATGATCTTCTTTTCTGCTCCCTCCTAATAACCTGCCCAAATTATGTGAGACAAAGCTTTACATTCCTTGCTTTTAAGGAACACACTGGCTGCACTTTTTAGAAGACATATTCATTTATACTTCTGGCAGTCCATGGAATATTCAATACTTTTATCCAAAAGCACAAGTCAAAGGCATCAATTCTTCTGTCATCCCTAATCATTGCCTAACTTTCAAGTCCATAATAAGTAATTGAAAAGATCATGACTTGAATCAGATGCACCTTAGTCTTTAAACTGACGTAATTTCTTCCTAATACCTTGGAGCGGTCTCTGACAGCAGGTTTACATAATGCAATGTGTCTTTTGCTTTCTTGACTGCTGGTGCAGTAGTGCATGTGCCCCATCCCATAGTAAGTGCTTCTTAACCCAGACTTCATTAATAGATTTCATTTTGAAGGATGTTTTCTGGTTTGAAGCTTTTTCTCAATTGTTGTTAGATGCCTACATATTTAATGATCACAACATCAGCTATGTGAACCCATTTCTTCCCCATCTCAGCAGTTTAGTCAAAGCAGGTCAGCACTTGGCAGTAAATGGTGCTTCTGGCAAGAAATTGATCTGACACTTCTAGGGCAAGACAGGATGCTCAAAGACAGCATCTGATTAGTAACTTAGATAAGACTGTTTATCAGGTTCTGTGGTTTCAGTTTTGATTAGTATTGAAAGAAAAGGGGAAAACCCGCCTTTCTGCCTGCTTGATTGCATTTTACTTACCCCTTTTTGGGAGACAGCTCTTGAACCTTATTGTTGTGTACTGTCTTAGGACTGATCCATAGCCAACCCTCCAGCAGGTTTTTAGAGGCAGTTAATCACACAGGAGGAGATTGCCCATCTTCCTCCCACAGAGCAGCTGGTGGATTTGAACCCTGTTGGCTTCAGGATTGTGGTGCAGATTCTTTTCTTTTTTTTTTTTTT